CAAAGAGAGAGTGAAGAGGTTTAAGGACGGGTTTGCCTCAAATATGTGAGGGAAAGTACTACTGAGGACACAAACACCAGTGTCTCCAGGGCCTACAAAACAGAGGCTCAAAAGCAGATTGTGAGCTCTCCTTTTCTGGCAACAAACCTGTAAACAACCTCTCATCTCCTGACACATCAACAAGCCATGTTATCACTGGGATTAGGTGGGTAGTAAGAAAAATACTGTTATGTAAAGTGGTTGGGCATCTACTGGATCCAGCAATGGGATTAAATAAATAACATGGGAAAAGAGAAACTGTTGAATTCACTGTATTGTTAAAAGGTCCTATATAATGCAAAATGGACTTGGGTGAGCTTTAAACCATGTTATAGTATTGTTACCTCATCAAAAACATGCCTGCACTCAAAGCGCTTTACAACAAGGAAACATTCACCCATTCACACACCAGTGTATGCAGACACAGTGGGCAAGGTGGGTTAAATGTCTTGCCCAAGGACACAATGACAGCATTCATCTGTGGGAGCTGGAATCACACCAGCCAACCTGTGGGTCAGTGGATCTGACCGCTCAACCTGTGATGTTTATGTCGAGAGCTGGATTCAAACCACCAACCTTCAGATCAGTGGGCGAATGCTCTACCAACTGAGCTACTGCTGTGTTTTGTTTCAATCACACATGTTTGAGTAATCCTACATTATTAGTCTGTCTACATGTCCAAAGCTCAGAATGCTCTGCTCCACCTTTTACCTTCTGTTCAATAGAGATTGGCAGTTCTAGGGCTGAAATTATCCAAATGACTCTAGAGTACAATGCAGTGGAGTACTTCCTGTATTACCACATGACATCACAAGGTCAAAGAGAGTAGTTTCAGTTTGAAAGAAGAACTCAGCCTAAATATGCAGGTTTGTGTGTTAAATGTATGTGAATGAAACAAAACACAAATACAGGTATCCAAAGCTGAAAAAGCTGAGGCATTCAAAAAGTACAAAATAATTAAAAGCGTTTCATACCACATGGCAGATAAAGTTAAAATCATGTGTTTCTGCCCTTTGGCCTTCAGGGCAAACAAGTAGGTATGTTTGTGATGAGAAAACACCATTATAACAGATCAGAAAAGAGCGGAATATGAGTCCTGTAACATTTGTGGAGTCAGAGAAAGAGAAAAAAATCATCTTTGACTATGATGCATTATATTTGAAGAATGTCCAAATTAAGGATTGATTATGGGTGTGTCCCATGTGAGTGGGCATGTTTTTTTTGCCTTTAGTGTATTTCCAAAGGCATTAATAATTAGCATACTTGTCATTGTGGATGAATGTTAAAATCTTCTGTTAAAAGATATTGCATAATACAAAATCCATAATTATTAAAACACTTCTTCCCAGACCAAAAGTATTTAAACTTCAAACTTTCCACTGTTTGAAACCTGACAGGACACAGCCTTTGCCACAAGCCTCTGATGTTTGATGACTAACACTGTAATTAGCTAGTAATGGTTTTGAAGCAATTACAACGAAACTCTATTGTATGCCTCAGGATTTTTGTGACTCATGCTTTTTCCCTGTGTTTTTTGTATTTTTATTCATTATTAAAACCTCGATATTGATAAGTGTGTCGCATATAGACAAATGTGGATTTTACTTTGTTTTCTCAATTTTTTGACCAAGGCAGAGCACACAAGATTCAAAAGTCGGGGGCTGTGGTTACATTCACTCTACAATCTGATTATAATTCGATTTTAAATCTGATTTCTGCACATTTGAGATTACTTAAATGACATGAAACCTCCAAAGTTAGATGTGGGCAATCAGATGACCATGATAAGAAATATCATGATTCTGCTGTTTACATTTCATTTTTATTTATTTATTTTTTATTCCAAAAATCTGATAATCAGAGATTTTGAGTGCATAACTGCAGCCAGTGTCCTGACTGGGGGGAATCCTACTGTACATATTTTACTGTTGTTGACATGAGAAGGAAAAAATTAATTTAAACAGAAGGCCCTGCACAGTCTAGGAGCATAATATATGGGACATTGCTGTGAGTTAGAGGTGCCTGTCTCCATAAAAAAATTTAAAAGGGTGATATAAGGTAAATATAGACAATAAACAATAATATTGAAACCAGACTATAAAGCAGAAGTCTTCCCCAAAAACGTATTCTAAATATACAAAATTAAATGTTATATTATATATTAGTTTGTATCTATAATGAGTCATAGAAGTTCATAATTCAACCCTCCACAGGTCAAATGTCATCATAGTAGAAAAAAAGAACCCAAAATTTCCCACTCATGCAAGGAAAAAATACCCATGATAAAAATTGGTCCTCAAAAAGTATTGTTCCATCTGTCATGTATTGAAAGATAAGTTGATATAATATTTATCATGACAGGCCTAGTACTATGCCATTGTGCAATCCAAAGTTCCTCAGTTAGTTTGCACTCACCTCACTGAGTTAGCCTTTCTGCCTTCTGCCTTCATGAAAACTTTCACATGTTCTAAGGGTTCATGGACATACATCTTCAGTCTGAAACACAAACACAATACAAAAATGTGTATAAGTTTACCAGTAGTAATATTAGAAGTATTAGGAGAAATATTAGTAGTATTAGTATTAGTAGTAGTGGCATTAAAACACAAATGACTGATAAATCTGCTGCAAACACCATGTTAATACACTGCTGTAAAAGGTCAGGCTATAAAGAGTCTATTAAACCAAAACAATGGACCATAAAAGAGTACCGGTAAGTGATTAATTAATGTTATATTTGGAACGATGTGAGGAACTGTGTTGATTTTGAGTAATAAATCTGATTTTTTATATCAGCTAGGTGGTACATGGCATCTGGAAATAGCTACATCCGGGAAACAGATTCTTTTCTCTTTAAAATCACCGGGCTCCCTGGTATCAGTAGAAAGGTTAAGTCAGAGTCGAGTGGCTGATTAGAAATACCATGGAGGTCTTGTAGTTATCAAAGAGCATGCCTTGTTCAAGCACAGTGGTCAGTGTTGGGGGAAACCTGGGCTTACGAAATAAAACATGAAGTAACGTAAGTGTAAAAGAATTAGGAGAGTGACAGGTCCCATATGACACAAAATTTACTCTTGTGAGCTTTAAGCCATGTAATAATACTTATATCTCCTGAAAAACTTACCTAGAGTTGTATTTTGTTTTATTCACACATGTTTGAGTTTTTATTTATTATTAGTCTGTCTATATCTCAAAAGCTCAAAATGCTCAGTTAGCAGTAGTTTACATTAACAGCTCCCTTTTACCTTTAGTTCAACAGAGATTGGCAATTCTAGGTCTGAAATCATCCAAATGATTCTAGTGAGGGTGTATGGAGTTTAAAAACACAGTGGAGCACTTGCTGTATTATCACATGGTGCCATGCAGTGGAACATTGTGTTTCCTGTTTGAGAAAAGAACTCAGCCTAAATATGTAGATTTTGTGTGTTAAATACGTGACTGAAACAAAACACAATTCCAGGTAGGTTTTTGATCAATGAACACAGATCAGAAAATAGTACAACATGTGCCCTTTAAGACTGTGCATACATAATAATTTCTAATAACAGATGGCTAGGACAACATAATTTACATAATAAAATCCTCATGTACTATAAAATGAATTCTATTAGTAGAATAGTTCAAAATACAGTATAATACAATATAAAACAAAGGGTCACATTGTACAATGTAGGAAACAAGAAGCCAATTTTCTAACTTGACAGACAAAAAGCAATTTTAAATCATATGTGTTTTAATTTTTCATTTTACCCATCATCTGTAGCTTTGGGGATTGACTAAAGCTCCTTTAAAACCCTATTAAACCAGCAGCAGGTTCAGATTAGATACAATTGCAGACCAATTTTCAACACATAACTTTTCAAAAAGCTCCATTACTCCTGAGAGCTCTTTCTCCATCTTCTCCACATTCACATCAGGCAGTGTCATTGGAAATATTCACCAGTGGTCTATACATTTATACACTTCATATGTTTGATTTATTTGTGGTTCAAGTTGTAGTTGCATGTGGGCCAACACGTGCAGAAAGCCCACAGTAATTTTCACTCAAAAAAGCTTTTGTATTTCAGATTTCTTATGCACTGGGCAAATAACACTGCTGATATACAAGCATCTATTATAACGTTCTCATGCATTATGAAGCAACAGACGTCATTGTCTATATGTGCGTGCAAAAGGCTTGGAAACAAGTAAATAATGCATTCGGTATTAAGCTATGTCAAGATTAAAAGGTCTAATAAAAACATACCTGGCATTGTGTTTTGTTTCATTCACACATGTTTGAGTAATCCTACATTATTAGTTTCTTTCCAAAGCTCAAAATGCTCTGTTCCACCTTGTGATGTCATGAACTGGTAGTTTTTATGTTAACAGCAACTTTTGATTTTCAGAAGAGATTGGCAATTCCAGGACTGTATGGAGTTTAAAAACACAGTGGAGCACTTCTAGTGTTACCACAAGGGATGGGCATGATTAGTTCATTAATCGATAATTGAGCATTAAGAATTTCATCGATTACGTTAATTTTAATCCACAAACCGAATGTAGGTTGCTGTGCGTAGCGTAGGTTGACCAAACGTCTGTGTTCGGGGACAAACGAGGATCCGTATATGTAGCTCTCTGCACTCAGAAGGAGCGAGAAGACACAAACAGTCGGTCTGGCTGCAACATGCCGAAACGCAAATGCGTATTTAACGAGGACCTGAAAATGCGTATTTAACGAGTACAAGAAATTCCAAGCTTTCCGTTCCAGTCGGGACAAGTGGGAAGCCATGTGCACAGTGTACAAAGCATATGTTTCGGTGTCCAATGGGAAAAAGCTCACCAGGACACCGAAACCATGAAAAAGCTTTGCCAGGTGAGAGTAGCGCAATGTCGATGACGAGGCCCCACCTCCCTCCTGGTTTTGACAAATGCAAATATGGTCACACTAACCTGTATTCCACTGAGTCGTGTCTTTTAATCCGACAGAAGTTGAACTGCATCACCACACAAGAGCAGTTTTTTCCTCACTTAGTTTATGCAAATTAGCCATGCGGTTTTAAGTTTCGTTTCTGTGAGAGTTGCGCAAAGCTGCATTAAACACATTATAATGTCAAACGGGCTGATGTGGCTCTAGTGGTTATGGTTTATATGTCGTAAAGTTGAATTTATTTATGCAGATTAGTAGTGCAGATAGTAATAATAATGATGATCATTTTAATATAAAAACGTTAATGATTAATCGATAATCGTTAATTCTCAGGACGATCGATTACATTTTATCGAATGCCCATCCCTAGTTACCACATGACTGTTTTCTGTTTGAGGGAAGAACTAGCCTAATAAATATGCAGGATTAGTGTGTTAAACATGTGTGAATGAAACAAAACACAACTCCAGATACGTTTATGATAAGGAAACATTATAATATCGATCAGAAAATAGCATATTATAATCCCTTTAATCAGGTAATTGTTCATCAAGTTGATTCAAATTACAATATAATCCTATAGATCAATTTACTTTTAAATTATATTTAGAAGCAAAATTATGTCATTTAAATTGGACGTAAAAACTACAAAGTTTCTTTTCTGGCAGTTTTTATTTTTTAGTGTGTTTTTCCCCAGTGGGTAATTCAGTAGTTTTGGCTTTACTAGGTACTTCTGACTAACAACATCAATATAGAAAGTAATTTAAAACCACAATTAATGTATTGTAAAGCTATGGTCAAGCCTCAAAGCCTATTTAGAAAAGCTGCTCATGTCTTAGAGCAATGATAATCTCTTAAGCATTGCCAATGACAGTGACAGAATTACATAGTTTGGTCAAGGTGTCAACAATGGTGAATAATGATTTCTTCTCTCAATAATCCTAACATTTAAATTTGATATTGTGACATCTCTAGCCACGTTATTGTCATCATCTCCATCACTCGCACTTGTCGTGAGAAACTAAACACAGGGCTGCGGTGGTTGCCAAGAGGGGCTGCTCCTTTTAACTTCTGTAGCAAAAACAATTGGCCCAAGCAGCTACTCTGAAAGGTCGGCCAAGCAATACATCAAACAGGCCTCAGTGGGACTTATCATCACATGGTTAGCAGCATTGTTTTTGTTATTTTGTGCTAAGTGACTGCAAACCAAAATAGTGTGTTTTTCCCCAATGGGTAATTCAGTGGTTTTGGCTTTACGGACTGCTTCTGACTAACAACATCAATATAGAAAGTGATTTAAAACCACAATTAGCGTATTATAAAGCTATGGTCAGCCTCAAAGCCTTTTAAATAGTTATTATACATTTAACTTACTTTTGACGTGCCACAGGGTCTGACTCTGTAGGATGGATGTAAGGATTCAGAATTTCCAGTAGAGTCAGCTGATCAGACACCCTGAAAGACATTTTATGAAATTATACATATTTTTAAGGCATAAATTAAATGACTTGTAAATCAGAATCTGAGTGTAACTTTTACAGGTAAATACATTTAACAATTAACTGGGACACATTACGCAATTGAAATTCGATGTATAGCAAATGCAGCCGTTTTGTTAGTGATAAAACTGAAATGACATTGAAATGCTGCTGACACCATATTTGAAATGAGCACTTACGTTTCTTGAATACACATGCAATTTGTTACAAATCTCAATACATGGATTGCGATATCAATACAAGTTTGATATGTTTTAGGCCTTAGAAAACAAACACAAATGTTTTCTCCCTCTTTTATTTATTTTTATGATAATTATAAATAAACATATTTTTTAAATGAAGCTATATGTTCTCTGCTCAAACATGGCAGTCATCAGTGACTAGTGATATTGGCGAGTCACTCCTGTGTGTGAGAGTCCAACTGAATCATTCAATATTCAACATTGTTGCATCCCTATTTATGGTACCAATAACAGCATCTCTCTTTTGAACTTATTTGCATTTTTGTCCAATTTCATTTCTCTTCTTTGTAAACTTTAAATATAATTGTCTTTTATCATAACCAAACACACAGTGATGACAGACTTTACTAACTCACCTCCTCTGGGTGAACTCTGCACTGCTGTGGGGAAAGAGGAGCTTCAAGTGCCACATGAAGCGCTTCTCCCTAAAGAGAAACACAGATCATTAGTTGTAAATGTTTTCTGCCTGATGCAAGCGTGTCCAGATAAACATGAGGTCACTGACTTTCCAACACAAATGTTTAAAATCAGAGCATAAAAAATCGTAACCATGGAGACCAGTCTGACAGCAGCTGGTGATGATCAGTTAAACGGATACTGTTTTGGGTGGTAACACTTTGCATGTTGCTGGGCGTGCCCTGTTGAACATGTATCCCCCTGAACAAGCCGCAAATTTTTGCCTCCTCATGTCATGATGCAAAACAGCTTACCAAGTTCTGATACATCAAACGCAATGATAGACACAATGCATTACATACATAGACATAGAAAATAGACACTTGAAAACATTTACCACTTTAAATAACTCCCTTCAACAATACTCCATGTATTTTGCACTGCGAGTTTCACAGTTAATTTAGGGATGCAGCGATTCAGCTTTATCTGTTCCAATACCAATACTTTGACTTTAAGTATCTGTTGATACCTGATATCAACCAATACTACTAAGAGACTAATTACCAATACAAATTTATTTCCTTTACAGAGCAGTAAAAGGTAAACAATTATCCAAATGTGTTTTGTAACTATGGAACAGCTGTGTAAAAATAAAAATCTAAATTTATTATTATGTGCATGCTATGATGTTTATTTTTATCTTATTGTATGCACGCCATCTTAGTTTATATTTGACTATTACAATTCATTACTTTATGTTACATCACTTCACCGAATCACATTCCTTGTTCTGTGAACTTTGATCACTGACAATGGCAATAAAACATTTTTTATGATTCTGATGGAAAAACTTTATTCTTGAAATCAACCTTGATGTTCCTTATGGGTTTACTCTGACTGAGCCAATGACCTAGATCCAACTACAAAGTGATAAACTGACCAAACTCTAAGATAGGTCCCTCACGGATCTGGGTGGAGTAAAATATAGTGAAGTTCAAGCACAGAAGCTTAGATCGGTCTAAAGATGAAGGAACTCAAATTGAAAGGCAAATATAGAGGAGCTTGTTATTAGGGCCCTAAAGACACCAAGACCTTAAGAGTCCCTGTATGAGGTTTCTCTTGCCATCTGTATGAAATCAGTATCTTCTAATTTAATATGGTTTTAAATAGCAACTCTTACCCTTAAGGTATGTTGCCCATTCAAATATTGGCTGAACAGCGCAGCAACGGGTTACTAGATCCTTGATTTCCAGAGTTCTGCTAGTTATACATCTATTAAAACTGTTCCGAAAATAGGCTAAGCTCTTCTAAAGATGATTGTCATTCCAAAAAACTAGGTCAGTGTGTCAGGGTCCAAATGTGGTCTACCAAATGTGTTTGATGAATTTCCAAACTGAAATCCAAGCTGAAACACAACTGATTGAAGGCCTATGAAGATATTCAATTAAATGTTTGAAGAATTGAGTTCATTTTAAGAGACAAAGGGACTGCCTCATTCAAATCATTAAATCTGAAGACTATTGTTCCAACTACATTTTTGCCAAACTTAGTTAAACAAGTTTAGTGTGTAGTTGAGGTTAGATCTGAATGCACTTGCAACTGCATAAAAATGAAACCATAATTCTCTAAGGGGAAAGGGTAGTTAAATGATTCCTAATATTTACATTGTTGACATGCAAACTCCAATATTTGTTTCAAAAAATGTATTATGTTAAAGAAATAGTGGAACTTAAGTGGGTTATTTTAATAATATTGATATGCCATCATGATTTCATGATGAATTTTAATAACACAGCAAAGCACTTGCAAAGGAAAAAATTACCTTTTGCAAATGGCGATTGACAGTCTATAATATTAAAACATAACTTGAATGGGAAAATATAAAAAAGAAACCATACCTCGCCACTAATTTGAAATACAAGACTACAATGGTTAAACAAAGCTCTAAATATAGTAGCCCCTAATTAAATAAGGTTGATTATAACAATGTTAGTAGTTTGTTTTTTGTCCATGTATATCATGGGAACTGCTTTTTACCTTCAAAACAAACGTTAGAGCAAAGAGGTGTGAACAGGACAGAGCCATGTGCACAACAGGCTGTTAAAGCATGGTTATGAGTTTCCACTGTATAATGTGTGTAGCAGAGGAGCTGCAGGAGGGAGCTGTCCGGATAAAGACCATATCTGGCAGTGAGAGAGAGAGGGCATTAATTACATAAACAAGGACACATCTAACCTCCTCTGACCTCTGAGTCACAAGAATCTATGTGTGTTCAGTTCTATTTGTTCAGTTTTCAATAAGTTTCTGCTGCGTCAAAACTTGAAAGTGGGTGGGGGCGGAGAGCCAGGTGTGATGCTATTATTCAAGCATTACAACAAATGGAAACTATGTATTTCAATGGCAAAGAGGCTTGCCCAAAGAAGCAGCCAGGAATCCAGACTAAATACATACCTGGGAAATGGGCGGTTTGCTGTGTAAAAAAAAAAACATTTTGGACCATGTCACATTTCTAGTGGAGGATCCACAATCTGCTTGTGTCCATAGAGATAGTGTTGCTTTTCCTGGAATGTGCCACACTATAGTTGAAAATATATAAATATACCCAAGTGACAGGTCAGATGTGCGGAGATCTGTGCCCGCCTGCCCAGCAGAAATATTTATTTATTTTAAGGGATTAGCAATATTGTACCAACACTAAGCCAACTGAAAGTGAATATATCCCAGATAGATCAGTACATGACATCCTAAAGAACCTTCCAGGCAATGTAATAACTGCTCCACGGAAACAAGCAGGTAGGAGATCCCGCCAGCACAAAAGTTACATAATCTGCCTTTAAAGATGTACTGTGTAACTCTTCTGTGGCAGGGGTCTGCAACCTCTTTGTCTCCATGGAGATGTTAATGCTTTGTTTTAAATTGTCCAGAGTATGGTATTAAACTAATTTGTGTTACATTTATTCAACTACAGGTGTTTAAGTGTTCAAAAATATCTTAAAAAACATCCATTATTACTGTGAGTGGGGTGGCCTCTTCGCAAATCTGTCCTGTCTATTCTAAACTGTAACATCCATGGAGATTCATAAATTTATGCTCATACTGTGGACCATTCTAGGTACATCTCCATAGAGACAAGGTGACAAACCCTCTACCAGGCAAGTTACACAGTGCACCTTTAACTTACATTACAACTTGCATAATTTCAAAAAACAAAAATTATAGTAATGCAAATCACCTCAGTAACTTTATAATTGCAACTTTCACACACTCTTCCCATATTCTTCCCTTTGGAAATTGACATTTTCCACATGCTGTGCCTCATTTAAAGCAGATTTTATAACAAACTCCTGGTTGCTCACAACAGTGCTATGATGTGGACTGTCTGCAGCTATGACTCTAGTAAAACCAGGTCAAAGGCTACTTGTTCTCACCACTTTAAACTGTGGGAGAATATAAAACTGGACATGTCTTTCCAAATGAATTCAGACTACTTTATCCAGCTGTGACAGTTTTTAATTTTACCCACTACAAAATACAGTGGTTTTCCAAAGTGGAACAGGAGCTAATTGTGCTTCTAACCACTTTGAATCACAGTGACAAAAGTACTACATTTGTATAAAGTCCCTTGGCTGTGTGACTAAGCTGCCTGCATTTGGGGGACTAGAAATAAGCCAGGCTGAAAAGAAGATGGATGGCTTTATTAACCCTAGGTTGATAAATGGTGTAGAGTTGTTTCTGCCATCATCATGGGAGAAAAACAACTGTTCAGTGGCTTAGCGCTGTGTTACTTAAAGTTCTAATTTGATTTTGATACCAAGGAAAAGGTTTGAAACTTGATACTTGATGCAATGATAAAGCGAACACACCTTAGTTATACCTTACTTAGACTTAAAGGTCCTATATTATACAAAATTTTGTTTTGTGAGTTTTAAGTCACGTTAAAATGTTGTTACCTCATCAAAAACATACCTGGAGTTTCATTTACACATTTGAGTAATCCTTCATTATTAGTCTGTCTACATCTCCCTATCTCAAAATGCTAAGTTCTAGTTTTCAAGTTAACAGCTACCTTTTACCTTTTGTTCAGGAGAGCTTGCCAATTCCACAGCTGAAATGATCCAACTGATCATAGTGATTTTGTATGGAGTTTAAAAGCACAATAGAGCACTTCCTGTATTACCATATGACATCACAAAGTAGAACAGAGTGTTTTCTGTTTGAGAGAAGAACTTTGTCTAAATATGCAGGGTTTGAGTGCAAAATCTCTGTGAAAGAAACAAAACACAACTCCTAGTTTGTTTGTGATGAGGAAACAACATTACAGAAGATTAGAAAAAGTACAATATGGGCCATAGGGACTAATAGGAACATATTTTATGCATATTAAGAATGTTTAACCAAATTAACTTGTTAAATTAAATCGTATGAAAGGCTATTGAAAATAGTGTTACTATAAATGTATTACCAGTTGATTTAATACTACCAGACGGTCTAACAGTTATACAAGACCAGTATATGAGTGAAGTTTCAATACTAGTTTTTCGTAGGTATGGATTTTTTGACAACGCTGCTCTATTAGGAGGTGAATATGAAAGCAGATGTCCTGTGTAAGTATCAGTCAGAGGCACGAGGCTAGAAGCAGCTGGAGCAGTGGAGGGAGATGACAGAACTGTGGGCCCTTTGGTATCCACAAACCCTCTCCATCCAAAGCCTCAAAGGACCAAAATAATATCAGGCATAGATTACAGGCAGGCAGCTGAATTAAGTCAAATAGAGCCAGAGTTGCAAGGAGATCATGTGACTGGTAATAATGTTTAACAAGATGTTCAACTTCAAAGGTCCTATGAGACACAAAATTGACTCTTGGAAGTGTTAAAGACATGTCAGAACATTGGTACCTCATCAAAAATATACCTGGAGTTGCGTTTTGTTTCATTCACACTTGTCTGAGTAATCCTGGTCTGTCTATATCTTTAAAGCTCAAAATGCTCTGTTCCATCTTGTGGTGTCATGAAGCGGTCATTTTCAAGTCAACAGCTACCTTTTACCTTCAGTTCAGTACAGATAGGCAAATCTAGGGTTTTAGGAATTTATCCAAATTATTCTAGTCAATGTGTATGGAGTTTTAAAATGCATTGGAGCACTTCCTGCATCACCACATGAGATTACAAGGGACAGTTTGTTTTCTGTTTGAGAGAAGAACTCAGCCTAAATATTTTCGGGTTTGTTTAAACATGTGTGAGTGAAACAAAAGAAAACTGAGGATGTTTTTAAAGAGGAAACCAGATCATATCAGAGATCAGAAAATAGAGTAATATAGGTCCTTTAAAAAACTATAAAGCACAAAAGGTGCACTGCACAACTTTTCTGGTGAAGGGAACACCACCTACTTGTATCCAAGGAGACACTATCAACTAGAAAGGTCCACAGTATTGACCTTAACTAGCTCAATGCAGACAAGCAGGTGACACCAATAGACCATGATGCAGATCTGCAAAGAGGGACAGTGAGAATTTTTTTCAAGATATCTGAGCAATAAAAAGTGGTGTAATAAAATACATTCTAATGCTATACTGTGGAACATCACACGCAAAGCAATAGCACATGCATGTAGACAAGCAGGTGGCATATCCTTCATCAGCAAAGTTACGCAGTGAACATGCAAAACAGTGCCTTGGCAACCATTTTGCACTGTTGTTGGAAACCTCCCTCTGATCCATAGCCTCATGTAGCTCTGTAGTTGTACATGTGATATGTGATGACATATTCACAGATCTGATGAAACATGCCGCGTGCAGTTCTGCTGTAGCCTGCTCTCCTTCAGCTATGGTTCATCAAAGCTCTGACAGTCACAAGCGAAACTGTCAAGAAAAACACTGAGGCGGTTCGTAATAGCTTCATTAAAGTCTTTGGAAAGCTGTGGTCAATGGTGTCAGTGCGTGAGTATGGAGCAATGGCTAGTTTCAGTCTAATTAAGATCTTGCTGCTTTTATGGTTGTGTGTGTTTATTAACCACATCTTTTGCCAGACATTGAACAGGTTTCCTCACAACTATTTCCTCAAAAGTTTAATTTAAAAGTTTCTCCAACTTTTTCAGTTTTGGACATATAACATTTACTTCTGGCAAAGTAAGGTCAAGTGCTGTCAAATGTGTTATATAAAGGTCAGGCAGAGCATCATGAAATAAAATCTAAATGATAAGACCTTGCAATAACGATATAACCTTTGGCTCTACTCTGTTAATGCTAACTAGCTTAATGTTATCTTTATAGCTTAAAAGTTCTCCTTCACTCCAAAACAAACTGCAGAGCCTCCACAGTTAAAACTGCTCTGGGCATTAGCTGCAGATGCATGCAAATTATATTAGAAAAGGACTACATTTCAGAATTTTGAAAAAAAAAAAAAAAAAAAATCTTAAGTATTGCAATTTGATTTGCAATACATGTATAAAAGAATTCTGTTCAGAGTGGACATTGTAAACAGCTGAGAAACTAACACAAGTTGACAGCGTTTTATTTCTATACAAAGACTGGAAATTCTGTTCTTTTGCAGAGCCAATTCCATGATCTAAATAATTGCAGCCTTTGCAATCTGACAATTGTGCCAGCTCAAATTGCAATTTCGAGTTGATTGATGTAGACTTAGACAAACCTTATTGATCCTCAAGGGAAATTACGATTTTACATTACTATATTGCATATAAATGGTAATAATTCTAAATAAGTATCAAAAATAGCAAAATGTTGTGCAGCCTTCTCCCAGAGCAAACTACAATATATTATGAACAATATGATATGTCCCAGTCGTTTTATGAGGTAAACAAGATTTCCAGATAGATGTCCAGATGTCTTTCCATGTTGAGTCTGTATTGTTAACCATACTGCTTGCTGTCTATGAGAACACTAGCTCGCTATGCCAGACTGAAGCTGAAGAAAACATAATTCCTCCTTTACACGGTGAGAATGTGTTCTGCCAAATACCAGGTTTTATAAAATTACTCTCCATGAGGTAGACTTAAGACATGGATTTTGTTGCCAGTTTCTTTCTCTTGCATTGAATTAGTTAATGGGAAAAGAGCAAAAGTACAGCCGTTATTTTGTTGAGTACATTGACTTGCATTGAGCATGTATAGCATGCTGCCATCCGTGAAAGCCTCCTCGTCAAACGTCTGCCAGTAATGATCCTTCTCTGGCGATGAGAGTGAGTTTGTCGCTAACCAGCTGCAGTCACACGGCTCTCACATCTGCTTCTTATATTATGTACTTGGTGCATTCTAAAGCACATTCCCGTCCGATCCCCTATAATTTATTGTACACCTTTCATCCCATCACTTGTGTCTTTTTGCAGGGCTGTGAATAGGCCTGTCACGATAACAGATTTTGAAGCACGACATATTGCTACAGAGAAATACTATAATGTCTAGAGTGTTGACTGTTAAAGACAAGATTATCAAGCAGCTGGTTTTGTCTTATTTTCATTTCCTGCCATGCACACTCATATTCTTGTAAATTTGGTAATGTTACAACGAACCAGCGAATAATTTGTGATAAATTAGCAATAAATTATAATAATGAAGCTACTTTATGCCACTGCTAAAACAATAATGCAAGACAATCCTTTTTAAACAGACAGGATCATTAAAAGGCCTGAGCTGCAACAAATATATAGCAGAATAAAGCAATAATTTGTCATAAAAGTTATTTATTCAACCCTCTACAGCTCAAATCTTATCATATTACAACACATTTTGAAGCACCACATGTTGCTACAGAGATATACTGCGATATATGATAATACTGAAGCTATTTTATGACACTGACAATATAATAATCCCAATGAATCATTTTCAAATAGCCAATATCACTACTGGACATGCCATTTATTTGTTGCGGTGCATAATTAAGCAGTAATTACAGAGAGAAGTTACTTTTTCAACCCTTTACAGCCCAAATTTTATCATATAATAACAAAAATAAAAAATCTCTCCTATATTGCAAAAAAGAAAATTACCCAGAATAAATACTGAGCCCCAAAATATATTGTTCCAGATTCCATTTATTGAACCATAAGTCAATACTGTAATTATCGTGACAGGCCTAGCTGTGACTGGGATATAGCACAGTTATTTTCAGTAAGATGTAGTAACAATCTAGTGCTTGGGCAACTAGTGCATTCAGTGCTGTTCGCAAGTTCATTATAACGTTACCAAAGTTGCAAGAATATGAGTGTGCAAGGCAGGTAATGATGACAAGACAAAAAGAGCTGCTTGATTATCTTGTAACAGCAAACAATTTGGAAATTATAGTCACTTACTGCTTATCTATTTGTAGACATTATTGCTTTGACTAAAATGATCCACCATATGACATTTAACTTATCCATCTTGCAGTTCAGTTTCAGGTGTTGCTAGTGGTAACATATTGTAATATTGTACAAGGTTCATTGTAATATGGTTTGCATTACCTTGCAAATGAATGGGTAAGAGTGTGTGTTTTGTCTTAATACACATTTTTAAATAAAACAGTGTCAAAAACAAATCTTTTTTTTTTTTTACTTGAGAGCGACCAGAAAATATAAAGAAAACTCCCTACTAGTTCAGTTTTACTATTGTTATGATATAAAATGCAACTGTGAAATACTAAAAAACTAAAATGTTTGTATTATAGTATAAAACACAATACAAACTTTATGTATAATTAACATCTATTCCTTTAAGGGCTTTCAAGAAAAGGTCCACTGAAACATCACCATAGGCTCTATAAAAGAGCTGGGCACATAAAGTAACTAGTTTAACAAGAGTGCCATCCTGTGGCAAAGTTAAACATGACTAATAAGTAATAACTGACTACAGGTCACACCATACACTGGAACTATAATTACATTTGGATAGTGTATGCAATAGTCATTCCCTTAATGTTGACTTACTTTGAATTGAAGAAGGTTGAATTTTCTTTGCTTCTTGTGAAGGTGCAGGGTAGAAGCCTCAGGTTGATGTTCATTTTTCTGGCATTGGACATAAAACATTTTGCCTAAACAGAAAACAAAATAATAAATATGTAACCAAAAATAACACAAGTAAACTAGTCTGTATAAATACAAAAGTTACAGAATGCTAATTATGTAACACCAAGTCCAGTTAGATTTTCTGTACCAAAATATTGGATAAAACTGCTTAGAACAAATATGCAACAACATACGCAAAGCATAAACAAGTCTTAGCAGAATTAATGAAATATTACATTCAAAACATGATCGTGGCATTGTGTGGATTCATATATTTACATTTTAGAACTTAGACGTGATAATGTCTCTGTTATTCAAAGGCTAATAGAAGACTACTGGAGACAGCAAACAAGACAGTTTAACTAAAACCATTTGGTTTTATTTATGCAAGGAATTTTGAATCAACTGTTGAGTAATGCTAGTATCTGATCTTTAATCAACTAATGAATAGCAGACATACCAATTACAAACTTACTTTCATAGTAACATGGGGAACCCTAATAAGAGCATCTCTAGTAGCTCCATCAGAAAACCGCCCAGTGTCTTCCAGAAATCTGTAATCTGTAGCACATAAACAGAAGGTGTATTAAAAAGGCATAGTACTATTTTTGAAGACAGGTATCTCAGTTTTTTCTCACCACTCAGAAGATTCATTTCATCAAACTGTGAGAGAGCAACAAAGGCTGTTTTGTCCCGAACTCCGCTGCAGCCGGTATCTTCTTTATGCTTTTTCACACACAGTAAACTGCAGATGGAAACGTAATCACATTTAAAAACGTTTAGAAGCTGTAGGTTTGAAGAGTAACATAACAATAAAACATCACTAGATATAACAAAAAAGTTAATTAACATTTCATTTGTTCACCTGCATGAATGCGTTAGGCAGCGTGGGCACGTGTATTTGGCCTCCTCAGATCCACAGACCGCACAGCTGAAACATCAAGTTTTGTTTGGAGAACTAATATAGATAAGATCTCGAAATAATGTTGTTTAATGTATGTTTTCTTATTGTAAAAGTCAAGTTATGAGTCGAATAGCCTTACAGATAATTGGATACTTGTTGTCTAACCCTTTCTGATGATTGTATGTCAAATAGTTTTCGAGCCGACTTAAGTAAGCTAAACATGGCTCCTTAAAAGGGACTTACTTAGACAACGAAATCTTCCTTTTGGTCCCTCTCGTCTCTTCTTCGTAGCTGTGATCTTCCATTTGATTTTCCATATTTGTCATTTGGACTGTTTTTGGTAAAAGTACAGCGTTCATATCGCCTCAAACGCGTGCTAATGCAAAATCCAAAACAAGCCCGCTTCCTGCTCCTTCAGCCGACACGTGCAGAGGAGTTCCGGTGAAATCTTGGTTGACTACCGCCCCCTTCTGTTCGAAAATTGACACTTTCATAAAGTAAGACATGAATCGGAGAATTCCATTCACAAAATTGAATTAAAATAGCTAAAAAAAAAAAAAAAGAAAAAAAAAAGGTGGTTTTAAGCAGATGTACTGTGGATATGGATGCTTTATTTATTCAATGTATCAACTCTCATTCAGTTTTATTTAGAGATTCACTAGAACAAATATATCCAGTTTTATTGTGCTGGCTGAAAGCAAATCGTGTTGAACTGTTGGAACCTATCATTTTGAACTACTGGAACTAAAGAAGCCTTGTGGATGATTGGCAAAACATCTTTACTTTTGTCCAGTTGAAAGCATTTTTCTTTTGCCATTTTAGAATTGTTTAAAAGAAAATCTGAAAGCAGCCAGGTTCATTACATAAATGACAAATACTCTCCTTTTATTGTCAGCATGTTTATTTACAAATTCATCACCATCAACTTTATGATCCAGACTGATATAATTACACATTGGCAAATATAATATATTAAATTAGCCTAAAAATAACAATGGTGAGTTTTTTAGAGGAGGAGTCTGTTTCTGGCGATATGTAGCTGCCAGTTAATGGTAAAAAAATAAAATTAACGTATTAACGTAAATACCAGTAATAGATGTTACACATAGGCACACCTAGTATGAGTAGGTATAGCATATAAATATATCATAGTTTTGAATTGTTGTTGATTTCTCTTTAGAGAGTTTAAATTATCATGGGACAGTAATGTGAACAAAACAACCAACTAGGTATAAATAACGTACAGTAAGTGATCCATATATACACAGGAGTCGTAGATTCTCTTTGCCTTTTGCAGCACCAATGGTAGGATTGCCCTGAAGATTCTACCACAATGTAATAAACACTATAAAAATATGAAGTGTATCAAAAATGGTTCATAAATTAGAAATAAACAAAATTAAGTACTCATACAATGTAACACTCAATGTAACTGGTACAAACACATTATCAACTACACTACAGTCTAATGAGCAGGTAGAGGTAGAGCACCATCAGTCAAGACGAACACGTCCAAACGGTTTAAGTGTTAAATAAAGGAGCTGGGAGTTGAACACCAGAGCATTCAAAATGCTGGGGATCAACCATTTAGTTCTGCAGAAACTGTAGAGCACAAACAGATGTTCATGTGTTTAGGTGCTGAGAATCACCTTTAATGAGAAACTGGACCAAGTCAGTCCCTCATTATACACATGGTATTATTGCACTTTGACTTTGACAGTGCTCTTATTTCATAGGTCGGCGTTCTCCTTCGGTTGGTTTACCCAAGCAGGATAAGAAGTGAAGAGTGAATGCCCTGTTCTGTGGTCAGTGGTGACAAAGGGTCCATAACACTTTTCTAACTCCCACCTGTTAATGGTATTGTATTGTATATTCCTTTGACCAAAGGGCGACCCACCAGATGAGATGAAGTTCCTGCATGGTTGTGTGTCTTCATGTGAATTTTCTTGCAGCCATTTCACTTCTTTACAACCAAACAAAAAACATCATACTGCTACTTGATTTTTCCATTTGCCTTTAGAATCCAAGTACAAAGACCTGCTTACAGAAAGCAAACTGGACCATTTTCAATTTCTTGCTGACTGTTTGTGTTGGATGTGGAAAAATCCAGAATGTCTACTATTGGCAGCTGACGACTGTCCTGAGTACTGAAGAGGAATTGAGTCTGGTGCCAGCGGCCATGTAGAATCTGTAAGAGAAAACACAGATGGTTTGAAATCAAGCGGGTTAGTTGAGTCTCTTCTTTCCTCTTGTGCATACCTCTAGTTCATCTGAAATAATTTGTGGTTCTAGTAGTGTGTCTTTTTTGAAAAGTTGTTTGTTCCATCCACGAAACGTAACCCTTGTCAAACTGTTGGGTACAAAGCCATTGGAGTCAAGTGTTGTGCCATAATGAGGATTTTTCAGACAGCGAAGCGTGACGCTGTGGCTGGCTTCAGTGCTCAGTAGATGGAGAAATTTCATTTGGACATCCCCAACGCCAAACGACATCTGTGGAAAATATAAAGAGTACTTACTGTAGTACTATCATTTATTTTATACCGTGCAACTCCTCAATGCCCAGCTCTGCTCTACATCTTACAGAGTGGCAGACTTGGATTCTGCTATTACCCATTAAAGTCAACCAGGTTCTTTTAAATAATAATGGCCTTTGCATTTCATATTTATAATACATATTCAGGAAATTATAAGTTAAATACTGACTTTTAAAATAAAAAGAATACCTTTTTTGGGTCCAGGGGATTTAAACAGGTTTGCCCGCCTGCAGTAAAGTTACAGAAGACCTTGAAAGCATCTGTGGTACAGCCTAAATTAGGGTCTACCCAAAACCAACCTGCAAATATAAGAGAATGTACATTAAGCATATTGTAACTTAAAGACAAATGTTAATGAGCCTCAGCTTTACCATCTTTGAGTTTGTGTTGACAGTCCAGCAGGTCTTTACAGATGCGGGCTGGGTTCTCCCGTGTTCCAAGAGGCTTTTTGATGCTCTCAATTACACTGGTAAGATACTGTAAGGTCTTGAGAATTTCTGAGTTTTGGTCAACCAGACTCATTTCAGTGTTTTGAAAAGTCTGGGGAAGAATGTTTAAAGATATCAGAAAAGAGATGAAGATTCAGAAGCACTGTACAGGCTCTCTCTGGACTGGACGACTCACCTCTGTCCCGTAAGAAGTGTCCAATAGTTCATAGACTGCTGAGTCATCAAATATCTGCCTCTGTAAAACACACAAACTACTTATTCATGCAAGTCTGTACTGATAGTTTTATAGAAACATTTCTATCTGTATCCAGGCCTTTGTCTTTCTAGTGCTTACAGTAAAAGAACATTCAAACAGGATGAATGTTCCGTGTGTAAGATGGTTAAGCTGCATAAATACACAGGGAGACATTCTTGACGTAAGCAGCAGAAGAATAACATTCTTTTAGAGTAAAAATTAGGCATTGTACCATTTTCAGATCCCATATCTCTTCATATGATTTGTAGTTACATAGTAAAATACCAATACAACATTATGAATCATAAAGATTCTGAGAATTTTTTTTTACTTACAGATGGACCTGGTGCACCCGGGGGTCCCTGTTAATAGAAAGACACAGTTAAATAAACATTAAGTATAAAAACGTTCTGCCTATGTATAAAAAATATGGCACTTACTCTGGGTCCTGGACTGCCTTTGGGCCCTTGAGGTCCCTGAAAGAATGAAAACATAAAGATGTTGCATCTCCTTTTATGCAATATTGTTTCTTTTTAACAACATGCAATATATTCATATTTATATAGTGTATTTGTTATTGATGGGCCATATGTGCTCTCTGTGTCCTTATTATAGATAAATAAAAATAATAAAATGCTTTTCATGGCAAAATTGGCATTGCTTCAGTACCACAAGTTTTAGCACAGTACCAATGTATTGTACTGGGAGGTTCCTCTGGTGACAATAATGTACCATGATAATTAGATATACAGTGTTTTTAATAAGATTACAAATCCCATGGTCATGTGACAGTTGGCTTTACATTATACAGCTGGCCATCTTCTAACCTTATGTGACTTTTTCTTACCATTTCCCCATCGCTTCCTTTTGGACCTCTTGGCCCCTACATAAAGGAAAATAAATTATAGGTCAGTTCACCAGTTGTTGGCAAATTCAACTTTAGTAATATCATATTTTTGACATACTGGTTTTCCCATTGGGCCGATCATTCCTTCAGGGCCCACTGGTCCAGAGAATCCCTACAAAGTGAGAATATGTAATCATTACCATTAGTCTAGACCAGTGGTGCTCACAGTGCAGTGGCATTGTCATGTTCAGTTACCATACTTACCCACATACCCACTGGGCCTTTAGGACCAGGAACACCTTTCAGTCCAAAATCACCAGTTGGTCCCTGTAAATAGGTGAAGTATGGTTATTTTATGGTTATTTAATGGTTATATCATTTTAGCTTTGTTTACAATAAAATAGTACCTTTGGTCCAGGAAAGCCTTGTAAACCAACCATGCCCACATCTCCAGATTCCCCCTAAACAGTAAAAATGAGCAATTACTCACACCAGCAAATTTGCCATTTCACTCACATACATCTAGCAGCATAGTAGAATAGGACATCCACCAGAGGACCTGATGTCTTCCCAAGAACAGACACTGAGACTGGGGTCAGGTGTGAGTCTGAGCCCCTCTGTCCTCCAGGGTGGCAGTCTGTGTTTGTACAGCCTGTCATGTGTATCCTGCAGACAGCTCCACTTGCAGGCCAAAGAGCTGCTATTCATTCAGAATGGAACTGGATATGACCCAGGGGCTACGCTCTGGTCTCTGTTTCACCAGCATCAATGGAGATAACCAGACGAGGAAGAGAAGGAGTGATTCTTTGCCCTCTCCTCTCAGGAGTTACATAAGGAAAGTGGAGCACCTCATTTTTCTAGTCTCTTGACTCTCTTTTCTTACATAACTGACTCTTTCGAGGTGGTATGTTCCATTCTGGGCTTAGAAAATTAGTTATTTTACTCTAGTACATACAGTACATTTTTGCCTCACCACACAGCCAACCCAGGACCCCAAGTTAAATATAGGGAGGTTTAAAATAATAACCCTAAGCATTTAAGACCCTCTACACCAAGACAAACAGTCTGAGGGATGGAAACCATGTAAATGAGGAGTGGTGATTTTATTCAGTAAAGACTACGACAAGACAAACAGTACTGTGTTTTTGGGACATAATGTGTTGAATTGACTTTTATGAGCTTTTAACCAAGTTAACTGTGTTCCCTTATAATAATCTTACCCAAAATAGTATTCTGATTGATCCCTGTTTAAGTAACCCTACATTGTCATGCATTTAAGTCCTGAGCATCTGTTTTCACCTAGCCCCTATCTCCACCCATCTATGTACGGACTCTACATTCAGACTTTGGGTCATACATGAAAAGTGCTCACAAATGTAATTTTTCAACTACAGATACAAGTATATGAACATCTGCAGCTTTCTACACTGAGGTAATGAGGCAGGGGTCTTTCAGTTCTGCAGTTTTGAACACAAAGTCAGTGAATTATTGAGTCTATAATATGTTTTAGATCATTGCTGTTTACAATAAACAAAATGTGAAATAACAATCTTCATTTGGTATAGTTTATAACGTAATACCCCAAATAAGCATAAAGTACACCACTCACTGGTAGTCCTTTAGGTCCAGGCTCTCCTTTCTTGCCCTGGTCACCAGCTGCACCCTCCAGACCTTTCATACCTGCGATCCCTCTGTCTCCTGGAAGGCCCAGATCTCCCTAAAGAAACAAGGGTCAGGTACAATATTATATCCGTAACAGTTTTTGATTGCCAAAGTAAAATCTAAAAGTTTATAATTCTGTTTCTCACCTTTAAGCCGTCCGGGCCTCTTTCTCCTGGAAGACCAGGAAGCCCAACTTCTCCTCTCAGACCAGGACGTCCTGGTGGTCCCTCAGGTCCAACTAAACCCCTCTGACCCTAGGTAAATCAGCATGTTCTCACTTAGTTTTTTGTTATGTTAACAACAATATTTATGCTTTCCAAGCACAGTTGATTAAATGTAAAAAAAAATGTATGAAAAGTGATGAGTTTCATAGTATTATTGTGAATAGAGAGATCAGTGCAAAGGTCCTGACAGTATACACTGCTTCCACTTGCACCACAGACCTCTGTGGTTTCCCACTCCATCAGCAGTTTGGGCATTTGATATTAACATAACATTAAATAGAACACCACCTTACATTTGGGTTCTTCAATTACAGTGAAATCTAGGCTAAAATGGAGACATGTCTGGCACACTATGGCATTTGGTCTGGACAATAATGGACTGCTCTCGATTCATGGAGATTGATGAAATGTAATGATATTAAAACAATCTCATACAGGCCTGTGGTCGTCAGGACTACTTTGAGTATTTATGACCTCTTAAAAGTTCAGTTATGTAACTGAACTGTCTGGCATACAAGTATGTGACCCATATAATGCAAGGCATATAGAGACATACCATTGACACCTATGTCATTGGGTCTCATATTAGATTTTAGACTTGTTTAGATATATAGACAATACACAACATATTTATAAACAATGTTATACCAGACCAGTTATATTTGAGACAGTACTACAAAAAGCATTTATTTTTCGTTTCTACGAGAGACATGTATATGTATGACAATGTATATGATTGAAATGTTCAAGGTTCATTTAGAAAAAAAGATAGAGAAAGAATTGAGAGTTGCGATCATTAAAAATGTAAAACTTAAACCAATGAATAGTTGTTTTGTCTCAATTTAATCAAGATAAAACAAGAGCAGTAGTTTATGTCATGGACACATCTAGAGTGGAGTACCTGTCTTCCTGAGTTCCCTGGTGCTCCCTCAGGGCCAATCAGTCCTGGGGGTCCGTCTGGGCCGGGGTAGCCTTTTACTCCACTGAGTCCAGGCAAACCTGTCAGCCCCTGTGAAATGAATGGAATATTCTTAGTTATATAATGTATAAATAATAATACTATGTCTGTGTTCTGTTTGATGATTCTTCTTGTAGCATTTTTTCAGATGTGAAAAATGCCAGATGCACTAATATAAATGAAGATGGCTGTTGTTTTTACGTTGGGTTTAGGGTGATCCTTCAATATCACAGTGAGTTGTTCTGGGATGTTAAACAGTGTGTGGACAAAATCCAAACAGAACCAAGTACCATTTTTCAACTAAGTACTCTTAGTATGAATACTATCCTTACTTCAGTACCATCTGTGATGCACCAAGGAAGTGTATCAGAAGAATATTAACATCACACTTCCTATTAACAGCTGATGGCAGGTGATACTCACTTCAGCACCAGGTGCCCCTGTCAGGCCTCTTGCTCCTTTCTTTCCTGCAGGGCCCTGTAAGTGCAAAGATGGATGTACCATGTTATAGCAGCAATCGCTCAATGATCAGAGCGTCCATCAACTAACATGAAAAGTCAGCGGTTCTATCCCAACTGTGAACAGAGCATATGCTGTTGTGTCCTTAGGCAAAACACGTCACCCACTATGATTGTGTTGTAAATTGGGTGAGGAGTTGTGGTCAGAAGGGCCAATGGCACAGAGTGTCTAACCCAAGCAATCAGTTCTAACCCAGGCAATCAGTAGCTAGAGAAGAAGGTGCTTACTATGTAAGTGTAGTATGAATGAATGATGACTACAATGCTTTATAATTTGAGAGGCTTGTCTAGCTTGTACAGGGTAATAAAAGTGTTCTGTCAGTTAAGCCCATTATGAAAAAGTTAAGTTAAAGTAAGAAAAAATTATTAAACTAAAATAGCACACATACACACAATTGTGAGTTCATACAGTAACACATACAAATGTATTATCTAACAACAGTAGAACAGCTTTAATTTTGTATATATATATATATATATATATATATATATATATATATATATATATATATATATATATATATATATATATATATATATATATATATATATATATATATATTATTTTTTTTTTTTTTTTGTATTGTGCACATTCAGGTAAATAGTTTTAGGCAAACTGATTCAGCTCCTGTTCCTAGTATTGTCTGTATTCACCGCTTCACATCACAATGGGATGACTTGTAAGGTTGGTGATTCCCCGATCCTTTGTCAATGTCAATTTAAAAACCAAGTATATTATTTCCATGTCCTCAGTGTGTGCATACAGTGGTGTAAGCCCTATGGGTAAAACCATCCTTGCCAAATCCTCCAGAAAATATTTATGAACAAACTATTTGTGCAGAATGTGAGTTTGGTAACTCACAGGAATTCCAATCTCTCCTTTTGGACCTGGTTCTCCCGGCAGACCAGGTGATCCCTAAACAACATGGGAAAATATATAATAACACTTATACATTTACATATATAAATGTTGGTGTATTCTATGTCTTACTGGTAATCCAGGGGGCCCAACAGCTCCACGAGGTCCAACTACACCAACATGGCCCTATAGAGACAAAAGCAATTACATAATAAACTTAAATGTGAATATGTATATGAATACAGAACATTAGTACAAATTAATAATATTTTACTCTGAAACACTGACTGAAACACATACTACAAACTCACAAGTGTACTAATCCCCATTAAAGGTGCACTGTGCAACTTTTCTGGTAGATGGCCCACCATTTACTTGTTTCCATAGAGATGCTATTGCTTTACCTCCAATATTCCAAAGTATGGCATTAAAAATTTTCAGTCTCCATAGAGACAAGCAGGAGATGCGACCATGCCATGCTCACACCTTGCTCATAGTCAGAATGCATGTTTTTAAAGATATTTTTGAGGAATCAAAACACCCTTAACTGAATAAATACATCTTATATAAGTTTAATACCATACTGTGAAACCTTATAGCCAAAGCAATAGCATCTCCATGGTAGCAGACCCCCAATCTGAAAAGTTACACAGTGCACCTTTAAAATATTTGGGGTTCAAATATGTGAAACGCTTAAACACAAAAGATCGACCTGATATCCTTCATCTCCTGGCTCTCCACGTTCTCCACGTTCTCCAGGAAGCCCCTGTGTAGTCAGAAATGTGTGCATAAGAATACACATATAAACATTATAGCTCACTACTGAAGAAGTACCCTCATCAATACTTTTAAAAGTTTTAGCTGATACATATTTAAAAGCTTTTATGACAAGCACTGCAAATCAGACTTGCAATGCTTGTCATTAAAATATACCTTTTTTTCTTTTCCAAAATTGTTAATAGTGTCACATTCTTAAATTTTTGACTGGGCAGAAATGACCTAAATATGTATTCAAATGTATTAATAATGTGCAGAGTGTCATGTATGTGTTTATCTCATGTCAATGATGTTCACCTACTGGTTCACCTATGGTTCCTGGTGGTCCGGGGGTTTTATTGTCTTCTCCTGGGTATCCCTTAAAAGGCAAATACAAATGTTAAACATTAAAATAATTTGACACAATCAGTACATTTTCAAAAAATATATTAGACTAAGATTTGCTAATACCTTTTCACCTTTAGGCCCTGGTGGTCCAATGGATCCCGGCTTTCCATCAGGTCCCTTTAAAATAAAGAATTTCATTCATTCTACTTACATGATGCAGCATGCTTCTGCTACAAAGCCAAATGTACTTTGTGACAGCTGTCAGCTCATTTATCACTTGTTCAAAAGTTAAATGCAAATAGAATTTCCTTTTATTTTCCATCATCTACAGGTTTTGGCTCAAAGCCTAAAATCTTTCAACAAGAGTCGGGAGGGAAAGACGTAAAATGAACTTCACGTGCCCTGCTGAACCTATACAGCACAGGCATGGCTCTATTCACAATGGAAGTACCAGATCATGACTGGGCTTATTACACTGTTCTGTCTGTTGTTGAAATAAAATAAAATTTAAAAAATGTTTATGCTAATAACAGTACTTAATTTATTGACTGTGCAATCAGTATTGTGTAATTGGGTAAACTTCAATATAATATTAATTATTTTTACAATATACATATACATATATATGAGTTTAATCATCAGCAAATTATATCTACAAATCTTACAGTGTATCCTGAAATTCCAGGTTGACCTTCCAAGCCCATGACACCGGGAGGACCCTCAAAAAAAGCATAAAAGAATAAAGGTCAGATATAATTTATTAGTCAAGTTAAATGAGAGAATGGGACCAAGAAAAAGTCAGCACAAATGTAAACTCACAGGCGTGCCCCGCGTTCCTCTGGCGCCTTTCAGCCCAGATTCGCCTGGTTGGCCCAATTCTCCTCTTTCACCCATTTCTCCTGCAACTCCAGGGGGCCCCCTCTCTCCCTGGAGTGGCACAAAAAGATGTTTTTTGTATTGTCTTTCTGTCTTAATGTTACAGCATGTTTAGCTGATGTGTTCTGAACAGAAGAACATTACCTTACCTTTTTGCCCGGACGTCCTCTATTTCCTGGGGATCCAAGTTTCCCTTCTGGACCCTTTTAAACAAGAAATACTTAAATTTAACCCTAACCCTAAAATCATTTGTATCAAATCAGATTATGTGTAACATGTCTGTCTTAAAACTTAAACCTCATATATAGCATCATTATAGCCTCAGTTTGTTTAGGAAAAGGCTGACCTCTAGTGGTAAAAGAGCAGCAGTACATCCAAACTACATTCAAAATGTAATCAGTTGTTTGGATTAAAGGTCAAATGAGCATTTTTCCAGAAAAAACTGTTAATTCAGGATAAATTATGATTACTATAAACTATACATACACACAGACACACACATAGATACTCCTTAGAAAGATATTTTTATAGCAAATTTAAGAAAAGCAAACTTACACGAAAGCCTTGTTTTCCATTTTCCCCAGGTGGTCCTGGGGGGCCAGCGTCTCCCTCTTCTCCTTTCTCTCCAGGTTCACCCACTGGGCCACTGTCACCAGGTTCACCCTGAATGTACAAGATCGCAAAAGCTAACACTTCAGTTCATCATAAACAAAGGGTGAAAAATAAACAAATTTTATCTGTTTACTTTTGGTCCATCTTTCCCTTGAGGTCCATCTTCACCAGGAGGTCCAGGAGGCCCCTGTCAACAGAACACAGTCCTTCATTTAATGATAAACACATGATTTGTGACAACATCATTTAAGGTGGTATAGTATGAACTAGTCAGCCTTTTAAAATTTAAGTACTTCATTTGAGTAGTTAATAATGAATGTGTCTAGAAAATACGTCAAGGCCTTTGTATCCATTAACAAATTTTATTTGTGTTTACAAAATGGCACCAGGTGGCTTGACAGTGTGTTCTACACAATAAAATGTGAAGAAACTTTAGCTCACAACCATGGCAGCTAGTTTCAGAACTGAGCAGCTGCTAGTGCTGCTAGAGATGCCAAAATGAGCTAATCAAGTTTGGTGAACATGTATGGACTAAACAAGACAGAGGACCTTCATTTAGTAACATTTTTCACTGGTGGGCAATCATTTTGACATTGAAAAAACTCCATGGTTTTTGATGAGGATACACAATACCAACATGGTCATTTTAGGGTAATAAAGGACTTGTAAGTGTTAGTATGTGGAGATCTTACTCTGATTCCTTCTTGTCCCTGCTCTCCCTCAGATCCCAGAGGCCCTGCATCCCCCTGAAGAGAAACACACAGGCTCTGAGATTACAAGTCACAACGACTGTCTCAGATTTCTCTAAGCCAGTGGCGTTTGAGTTACAAGTTCATGGCTGTCCACACTCCTGTGGTGCATATCTCTGTATGTGAAATATTTCAACTGCTGCACTGACCTTTGAACCTGACTCTCCAATGGCACCAGGCCCCCCCTCTGCTCCGGGTGCCCCCTAAAGCCATTTAAGAAATGATAAAATATTCATATTTCATGTACCATATAATTAACAAATTAAACAAACAAATAAATACTTGATATAGCTAGAGCAAAACCTAGAGATCAAAATTACTTCAAGTCCTTGTTCTCCCTCAGGCCCAGGCTCCCCAGGCGGTCCTTTAGGTCCCTGTGAAAAATAAACGTAACATAAGAACAGGAGTGACCACTATACATCATCAGACAGATGAAATGTTTATGTGGTGCAGTGAATCATGTGATGTCTCATTATGCGCTGACAGTGCCTTTCCGATGCTTTCATGCAGTTAAACATTTATTACAGGTTTAATGAGGACATCATTCAGTTACAAAGAGACCATAAGCGACAATCAAATACAATAAATGAGAAACACTTAACACTTCCCGCAAGACTAAACAAATCTTTAGGACACATGTGGATCACATATGTACAAAGCTATTAGCCATGTGGACAACAAAAGATGTAGTTTATAAGATGAAACTTACTGGTTCACCAAAAGGGCCCTTTTCTCCAGGGCTTCCTGGAAGGCCTGGTTTCCCCTAAAAACACACACATATATATATATATATATATAAAATATATTATGCATTGATTAATTTTTTTATATTATTGTGTGCTTTTAAAAGTAACAACACAAAATGAGTAGGGTGTAATGTTGCAAAGGTCCAATGTAAATTTGCGATTGCTGAGGGTTGAGTTTGCACATGTTGGTAAATTACCTTACAATATGGATCAAGTCATCATAAATCTAATTATAAAATAAATGTATATTAAAAACAGACATTTTAACTGTAGTATTACTATAACTCACAAGTTTTCCAGGAGGGCCCCTTTCACCAGGTGCACCAGCTTTGCCCTTGAAACAATAAAAGTGATTAACTAAATGGTTTGATTATATTTAATGTGTGCTGTACAAAAACATTATATGGAATTATAAATCAACAGAATTAGTTGTTGGTGCACTCACAATGAATCCCGGCTCGCCCTTTTTTCCGATATCACCCTTTTCTCCCTGAAATGGAAAATTATGACTGTTATAAATGATCAAAATAACAGAATAAAGACAGACCCATTTATTTATTCCATGAAATATTTACCCTGGTGCCTTCTGGGCCAGGTTCTCCTAGTGGACCATCTAGACCTTGTGGGCCCTGAAATTGAATTAAAAGATATTTCTATGACAACATCCAGAAAATGAATAGATTAAAAATTAGATGCCAATGGCACAGATTGGCAGCCTTGGTTACATAAGTAACTTATTGTAGTTATGGCTACATTAGTAGCTTACCATGACCGAGTATAGAGTGAATGAATAATGCATGAAATTATAAAGTAATTTTGAGCCTCTGGAAAAGGCCAATATAACACTTAATGCAAAGTCAGTCTGCACCCTCCCATCAGCACCAACCACACTCTCTTGTCATATGGATACACAGGTAAGGTAGGTGTGTCTTGCTCAAGGACACAACAGTATGTACCGTTCTGAACAGAGTTTGAAACACGAACCTTTAAGTTGGTAGATCATCGCTCTAGCCAATGCGGGTTTTATTTATAAACTTTTACAACAAATTAGTTTCTGTTATACTTAAAATGTTATTCTGGTACATGCTGATGTTTGTGTCTTTTTATTGATGTTGAGTTTCTTATTTATTCCTGTGGTCATTGCAAAGCCCATGTGTTATTATGCCCAGGACAGGCCCTCAGGCATTGTGGCAGTAAACTAATTGACACAAACTAAATTACTTTCAAATAATAATTGTAAAAAGGCAAAGTTCAAAACCATTAAAAAAGTAGGAAGTCCAAAAGTGTGACTTTACCCTTCTTCCTTTTGGCCCAGAGATGCCGGGATCACCCCTTTGTCCTGGAGGACCCTAAAAAAACACCACATGACACACTTAGTTAAAAACAAGCAAAAAACTTCAGACAGCTACAGCAATGTAACACTATGTTTTTTATTTAACACCTACCGGTGCACCTTGTAAGCCAAAGTCTCCAGGACCTCCAGGTAACCCTGGATAACCCTTATTCCAAAAGACCAAAAACAACATAAAAACAAACAAAAGAAAAACGTATATTATCTTTTATTAACAAAACAGCTTACTCTTGGGCCCTTCTCCCCAACTGGTCCGGTTGGCCCTGGTGGTCCTCGGTCACCCTGAGTCAGGCACAAAGTGTCTCATTTAAACAGTAACCTTAAAGGTCAAGAAGTGAAAAAAACTGACACAATTTCACTTGTTTTTCTGCAAAAGAAGGCCTGTAACTGGAGACAGCCCAGCACCTTAAGAGCACAAGGCTAAAGTGACAGCTGCTTTAGTGGAGTTTAATGTGAAAGGGTCTTAAACCCAGTTGGTGGCACAGAGCAGGTGTAAACAAATCCTGAGTGAGCTATAAAGCACAGTATGCTCATTTTAAACTATTTTAGCTCAAATGTGCCTCCTTTAGTCTGTGCAGCACACTGTTAAAAAGGAGCAGTGAGCATTTGTATAAACAGTGAGTGTTCATAATGCATTCATAAAAGACAGCGTGGCATTCATTACTCACTCACACACACAGTGGGAATCAATCCAAAGTCAGTTACTAAACTACCTTAATATTGTTTTGCATAAATGGTGTGTGGGTAGCTTAAGAGCTTTGCCAGTTAAAACTGTATTTTCTGCTATCTATGATAATTTCAATAGTATTTTAGTGTTTGCCCTTCTGGCCATTTTTGCCTAAAATGGTGTAATTATAGGGTTCTGCACAGGTTAAGCAAAGTTGATGATGAATGACAGCCTAATAATAGACACGCTTACCTTTTCACCAGAAACTCCCTCTACACCAGTTATCCCGATCAGGCCAGCAGGACCCTAAAAGAGGAGAGCATCATGAAAACCTCATGTATGTATGTATTCAAATATCAGATAAACAAATTATGTATTACCAAATGCACTTAAACTAAAGCACTTAAGTATTAGGTTCAACCCTTTAAGTGACTGTATGTAGGTATAGTTTTATCAGCTCATACGCCCTCTGTTGGTAAGATGTGTTTCAGAGCAAACATACTCTTATAATATGCACTACAGGGCTTTTGACTTTTAGCTTTAGTTTGCTGTAACAAACAAGTACACTAAAGTCTTCGTTATATATCGCATTCAGGATGTAATTCAAGTGAATGCTTGTGAACCAGTGGAGGCCAGGATTACACTGTAAGTGACTGTGAAGGATGCAGAGTGGGGGGCAAGGTTTTCTCTTGTCCATTACTTGACCATCACTTGTACCTTTGATGGCAGTTCTGTGATAAACTTAAATAAATGTTACATTACATAACATTACTGGTTGTTAAACCAAAGATAAGAGGTGAAACCACATCTGTATTCACTTTGAATTTGGCACAGGTCCATTACATTGCAGAGGTCTTTCAGAGGTCTTTCAGAATTTATAGAGAGGATTGCTGTATAAGTAGTTTGTACTGATGTTGGTTTAACTTGTACAAACAATACAAGGCTGAGGATACAGTGCTTGGTGACTGCAACTACGTACAAATGAAAAATATTAGTGACCCACGATTTTACATAGAGAGGAATGGCACTATGTGTACGAATGCAATTAAAATCATCATGGCCAACACTGTTAACAAGAATTTGTTCTTAATGTTTTTCTGCTTAAATTAAATAAAAAAATAAATGGCCATCATTAAGCACATCAAAATAGCCTCATGGAAGGCTTATAAGAGAGTTTCACGCTTCAACGTTTTTGTAACAATGTCAGTGATGCTGCTTTCAGTTGAAACTCACTTGTGGACCAACTTTTCCAACATTTCCCAGGTCTCCTTTTTCTCCCTGAAAGCATAAACATGAATGCACACGCAGGTCAGTTATCAGTGATATTTCAGTCATCACATCTTCTTGATTGAAAACAGGGATGTTTAGGAAACTCACTCATTTTTAAATACAATAAAATGTCAATAATTAATCAAAATTTGTCATAAAAAGTGTAGATACCATCGGACCGTCCAGACCAGGCTCCCCAATGTGCCCCTTTCTCCCAGGGTTACCCTACAGAAAATGGTGAAATACGAGCATATGAGTTTGAGTTTTTCAGATCCATGCTGTGTATTGTTATGCATATTCTGAGATGGAAAATCTTACAGTACGGCCAGCATTGCCAGGTGGGCCAAGTGGTCCTTCATCACCCTGCAAACAGTTTCAATTTCAATTAAGACAACAAAACAAAATGTTCACAGATATCAAGTGTGGCACCATTATTTTGTTTCCATTATTATTTACAAATAAGACCAATATTAAAAGTGACTTTTCTGATGGATGATCTGTCAAATGTGTCTGTCCATGGAGATGTTATTTGTCTAGAATGTTTCACAGTATGACAATAAACATTTATATCGTTATGGAGATGAAGCCAGACCAAGTTACAGGTCAGATTCAGGTATTTTTGAGTTCTAAAGCTGCCTGCAATTGAACAAATGAAAGGTAGAGCTGCTTCATGTCATACTGTGGAACATTCCAAGCAGCGCAATGACATATTCACAAAAACAAACAGATGATGTTACATGTTAAAGTGTACTTTTAATACTTGCTTGTATCATACATTCGTATATAAAAATAAATATATATATAGTATAAAATATATGATCTATATATCTAAAAATATATAAACATCATATATAATGGATATTTGATGTCACAGGAGCAGCAATCCATAGAAACATACTCTGTCTACCCCACAAGTGTGTCAGTATTTACAGTTGCTACTGTACTGGCCTGTACTACTCGATGAAATCCACTATCAAAAAAATCACTCCCTGTTATGACATGACAATTGATGAATGACAGTGTTCACCTCACTTCCTTTTGGTCCTGGTGGCCCCTGTGGGCCTCTGGAACCTTGTAAACCCTGAAAAAAAAATCACAGAATAATACCAGTCCCTTCAATATAAAAAGATCACAAATATACTGTCTTAATTACCTTTGGTCCAGGTGGTCCATTTGGGCCTGGTATTCCTATGTCCCCTGGAAAACCCTGTAAAAATACAACAGGAAGTGAAAAAACAGTTTTAACATCAATATTACCTGCAGATAATACAGCTCTATTTTACTAAGTGCTATTAATACACCGTTACACTGTACATTCAGTCTGGCTTCTTGAAGAGGTTATTTTTTATGTTCTTGATGCATTATCAGAAGATTTGTGCTGGGAACACTTCATGTTAAAGTCGACAGGAAGCATTCTTTGGGCTGGGTACCCTACTACCTTTTAATTGTTTTGGTACCAGTACTTGAGTGATGCCTGTTTTTTGCATTTTGAACTTTTTTTCTATGCCTGTATTCATACGATAACCAACCAACCATCAAGCATAACTGTTGTCAAGTAACTTTCAACTCTTCTCTTCCAGATGTGGGACCAAGAAATCAACACTCCAGTTAACAGATGAATCCACTGCAGTCACGTTACATCCAGTGTAGTTTTCAGTAGAATAAACTATTCAGTCAATCACAATGAGTCACAAGCACAATGTATATAGATTAAAGGGCCTATATAATGCTATTTTCAGATCTATGTTAAACTGTTGTTTGCTAATCAAAAACATACCTGGAGTTGTGTTTTGTTTCATTCACACAAACCCTGAATATTTAGGCTGATTTCTTCTCTCTAACAGAAAACAATCTGGAAGGAAGTGCTCAAAATCCATACACCTTCACTAGAATCATTTGGGTAATTTCAGACCTGGAAATTTCTACTGAACAATAGGTAAAACATAGCAGTTAACTTCAAAACTGACGCTTCATTACATTATAAGGCGGAACAGAGCATTTTGAGCTATAGGGATGCAGATTAAAATAATAATAATTCAGTAATACTCAAACATGTGTGAATGAAACAAAACACAGCTCCAGGTATGTTTTTGATGAGGTAACGGCATATTTAACATGGCTTCAAGTTTACAAGAGTCAATTTTATGTAATATAGGACCTTTAATGAATTAGTATCTGCAGAGGTCACAACATCCATATTTATATAACTTCATACCTCTGGTCCTGGTGGGCCAGGTGCTCCTTGTACCCCAATATCACCAACTGGACCCTGTCAAAACACATAAACTCTCAGAGAAAACTGCTCAGTGACTGGTACATCAACAACCAAAGGGCCTTTAATGCTTCTAATGCATTGAGAAGACTTGATGCTTCACTATAAACAAAACTACATTCTGAAACAAGCTTTCATTCCCCGAAATACTGCCATAATCTGTGAGGAAGGCTGAAATACTCACAGGTGGGCCTGGTTTCCCCCTTGGACCAGTGGGACCAGGTGCACCAGCATTTCCCTTAAAACAACAAAACAAAACCATGAGTAAATTTTTTACGACTCAATCAAATTGTTCTAAAAACTGGAAACATAAAAATGAGGAGACATACCTTATCACCTTGGAAACCCATCTCTCCTGGTTCGCCCCTTAGTCCCACTTCACCCTAAATTTCATAGCATCATAAAAGATATAACACAACACTAACCAGACACACCAAATACTTGGTGATTTTAAAGTAAAAAATTGTTCAAGATAACATTATAATAAATGCCTACTACATATATATATATATATATGTATACACATACACATTCACATACACATATACATATATATTCAAGCCTTGTTTAAAATCAGATTGTGACTATTGGCACACACAAATACACGCCAATAATACGAATATTTAGATCACCTTATCACCTTTCAATCCAGGCAAGCCGTTTTTTCCAACTGGGCCCTAACAAAAAGAACAAGATTATTTGAACCCATGATTCCACAAACAACAATGTAAGAAACCACATCTGGACAGTCTCTTGCAGAAGCTGATATCCTGCTTACCTGCGTTCCCACTAGTCCAGGCAATCCGCGTACTCCCTCTGGTCCTGGATCTCCCTGCAGAAAAGCAAAGATTGAACTCTGACCAAATGCAGTCAGATTGTAACTTTATGCTTCTTTATTTCTTAAAAAATGGGTACAGAGGGGTGGAAGTTACAGCAGACTGGAGAAAAGCCTGTGTACAGAAACGCTTTCGCACATTTTTAACAGTTTCTATTATATAATCAAAATAATTTAGAAAAAAAAAAAATCAAGATAATTCATCAATATTTCCCATATATGTAATATACTGAAAACTATACTGTTTTTTCATCACATCGATCGATCCCAATCTTCAATTCAATTATTCTATGTTATTTTGCTTAATTAAAAAGTAACAATCTCTTTACTTATTGAAAATAAACAGTACAGATGCTAAAAATGTAAAAAAAATAAAAATATATATATATATATATATATATATATATATATATATATATATATATATATATATATATATATATATATATACATACACACACACACACACACACACACATATATATATATATATAGTATTGTCTGTATTCAAAAGACTCAAGATGCTTATTGACAATAAAATTACAGAATCTCTATCTCAATTAAAATTGGACAGTCCTAGAGTAAACATACAGCTAGGAGGAAATACAACAATAAAGCCATTTATATTTACTACTCTGCCACACCACGACCACTCCTCCAATTTCCTGACTTCCTCATTAAACCAGCACACTTCCTTCTGATCCCACCCTCCCCTCTGGGAATCCTGAGTGTTCCCAATAACCATCATCTACAAGTGATCCTTACCCTTAGCCCTGGGAAGCCAGGGATGCCAGTCCCACCAACACTGCCCTGTAAAACAGCATTGTATTCATTAAACAATATAATACTATTTATTTCAAAACATTCTGAAGACAACAAAAATAGATACAAATACACACAGTTTTCCCCTTCACCCTCCTTTTAAAGGTGCATTGTGTAACTTTTCTGGTGGAAAGACAGTCACCTGTTTGGTTTTATGGATAAGTTATTGCTCTACACGTTAAAGAACTCAACCTTACATTTATTCAGTTGCAGTTGTTTATATAGCTCAAAAATACCTCAAAAAATAGGCATTCTGACTGTGAGTGCAGTTCCCTCTTCACAGATCTGACCTGTATCTTGGCCTGGTTTGGTGTCCGTGAAGATAGGAAGGTCCAATGCAATATTGTGAAACATTCTAGACAAAGAAATAACTTTTCCATGGAGAAAAACATTTGAAGGACTCTCCAACAAAAATGTTACACAATGCATCTTTAAATTCACGTCCTGCTTGTTTCATTAATTTCATATTCAATATTTAAAGTATAGTCTAACCTCATTTCCATCAGGACCAGGTGGACCTCTTTCTCCCGGGTCACCCATTACTCCCTGAAAAGAAAAAGAAAGTTTAATGTTTAAACACAGGATTACGTACAAATATTATATTGTTCAAAAATGTTATCCATAAATTGAACTTACTGGTTTTATGTCCTCAACGTCATTGTACATACACACATAGTATAGTATCTATTTTTTTTTTCTCACCTGCCTTCCTTTGAGACCAGGTTTTCCAGCAGGACCAGTAACACCCTAACCAAAAAATATATTTATTTACCTCCTTATTTCACAAAAATGTAATCAAATGAAATAATAGATGACAGTATTATCTATAAAGTCGGGCAACTCACTCTCTCTCCTTCTAACCCAGGTGGCCCAGAAACGCCAGGAAGTCCAATAAAACCCTAAAAAAAAAAAAATACAATATATATTTATTTAAACACAGGATGCCTAAAAGTATCAAACTTCTATAATTTCTGTGTAATTTATATTTTTATGTATTGTTAAGTTTTGCCTGACTTGGTTAAACTTAAATTTACTGACATCTAGTGGTGATTTTGTAGACTGCAGTGCAGCTCACACCAAGAAACATGAAATGACAAGGGGAGTCTCAAATAGTATTCAAAATCACTCAGCAATACTGAAGATCAAAATATTACACATGATTGACTGATTTGATTTAACATCTGATTTTATTCATTCACATTTACCTGTACCACATCAGCTACAGCATTCTACCTTTTTTATCTAGGCTCCTTACATTGTTGTGGTCACATGACATCACATTAAACTAGATACTAAATACTAGAGTTATCTATACTTATAATCTGAAACTGAGCTGGAGGAGAGCTCAGCATTCTATGCTAAAATTTGCTGTTTATCTGTCAGATTTGTTGACCTGGTTTATGGTTAATATCTCTATAATTATTGACCCTATTCACATGAAACAAAAAACTGTCACAGAGTTCAATAACTTCTCTGTCAGTATAAATAAACATACAAAAATAAACATGCAACCCCAAAGAATTGACTGCGGAAAGTACTTTTAACCTTTAGATTAATTCAATTAGGTTTGGGTCCCATATGATTACTGATAAGATGATATTTTGGATCTTTGGTTTACATATTTCTTCCAAAAACTGTGAATCTCCCATAGAGTTATATAGTTCTAAGACATGAACACAACCCTCCACAGTAATCCCAGTAATCATGTTTTTATGACCATAATCACTGCAAGCACACTCTATTATGTTACAGTACATGCAACATTGTTGAGATAAAACTGGCATTTTAAATCATTACCTTATGTCTTTATTATATTTTATTTTATTTTATCACTTAAGTTTACTATTATCATTCATTGTTTTACATTGCACCATATCAACAAAGCCTATCTCCTAGTCTTTGTCGATGTCTTTGTCCTAGCCCGTAACATTGTACACCGACAATGGCAATAAAGTTTTTCCTGATTCTGATTCCATTACTTACATTGATGCCTTTAGGGCCTGGGTTACCTTCAGGTCCAGCTGAGCCCTGTAAAAACAACAACCAACCATTATTCATCACAGAAATGTCCTTATTTAGCTTTCAGTGTGGTATCTAAACATAAAAATTACTTAAAGCCACAGTATGTAACTTTTTAGTCAAATAGACCAAAATAAAACCATGTTTTTTATTCTGTTAAACTGAGAAATGTAGTGTCCTTCCACTGAGCGGATTCACAAATGCTGTCACTTGCCATAATCTTCCACAGTATGGCATGGACTGTATATATAAATTGACATAGCTAACCCACTACCCGCCACGTTCCAAATAGGAAGTGAGCATGGGTGCGCTTCTGGCTCCATCGACACCTTATACTGGGAAAATCGTCTGTCTCTGTATCTACTGCTGGCAAGCTGCTCATTCTGGCCTTACATGATCCTGGTGTTATTTAACCATTTTGTACAGAAATCAGTTCTTATTTCTAATATGTAACAAATATGTAATATGTTCACTCCTCTAACTGCAAGCTTCTGTGAACTTCATTTGACTGGAGCCAAATGCTGGGTGATGTCACAATCCCTTAGTCCATTTCTTGTCTATGCATTGCATATATCTATATTTGGCATAAAACTTATCCATCACCACAGAGAATCTAAGTATGGTTTTAACTTTGTATCCATGGAATCATACAGGTGATGTGCCACCTCCAGAAAGTTACATACAGCACCTTTAATACCAATGCTTAAATACAGAGGTACCATTTTATACCAATACATGTCTTAAATATCCACACTAGAGCATGAACAAAGACTTGATCCATAATGAAAAATTAAGTAGTTTCTAAGCCTGAATCACTTTTAACAAACAATTTGTTCATTATGAAGTCTTTGTTCTTCTTTGTTAAGACTATTAAAAGTGTAGTTATGATAAAGTGTTACCAAAACAGATGTATATGTCAGCAGTAACATTAAGGGGATCTGAGAACAAACTTTATGATTTTTGCATTTTCACTGCACCTGCCTGCCAGGGTAACCTGCAGCCCCGGCTTCTCCAGGAGGTCCCGGCATTCCCTAAAGCGGAGACGCAGGAGGGAGAATGAATGAACAAAGCATGAAGATTAGATGGATGGATAAGGTGAAAGAGGAGAATCACAGAGCTCTGCCGCCATTGCCAACCCAGGAATAAAACAAGCACTGTTCATTGTGAGCAACCTCTACCAAGCCCTGTCTATTAACTGTATCCTTTTGCACTTCATGAATTTAGACAACAGCTCCTCTTTTACAGCAAAAACAGCATTTTTACAGGAGAAATCTACATGCTACACTGTAAATTACTGTATACGGCTTATGGGCATGCAACATGAATGAGAGCTTGTATGCTGAGCCATTTCATTAAAGGTTATTTAAGTTGACAGCTTTCTTAACGTGTGTATACTTGTGTTCTGTTTCTAGAATAATATAAGAATCTAATCTAACTAGTTGATTTGGAGCAATCATCTCTCAATCTCAATCACTTCCTTACTTAAATACATATACTATCACAACAATAAAAGTGATATATTATACTGTCATTGTTACTTACTGGCTCGCCTTGAAGTCCAGGTGGCCCTTGATGACCTTTGGGGCCCTTAAAACATAAAAATGTTTTCTTTATTAGGAGAGAATAGTGCAACAATTATATGTTTCTTTTAACAGAAAGTGATATATATTTAAAAATAAGATCTGGGGCAAACATGTCTTCATATTGAAAATCAACAGATGTTGACAGCTTCACAACACCAGGTCAGAGGCAGGTCAGTGTCTCTGTTGCAGAGAAACTCAGTTGAATGGTCCCATTGACTTTGTCCTGTGTTTCCGAAGTCATGACACATGAACCTTCACAGGCAATAAAAGCCCCACTTGGGGGTGAGGAGCACAGGCCCCAAGCCACTCATTTCCTCTGAAAATACTTACAGGGCCACAGTTTATGCTGTGGGTATATTAGGTTTAGCTACTGCAAACACTGGGATGGCCTCCTGGGAAGCGAGGTGAAGGCCACTGATGTGGAGAGTAGAGCTCAGAGAGACAACTTGGCCTCATGCAGCAGAGGGCTCCTAATGACTGAAGTGAGGATGTGCCACAGTGCCACAACCCATGTATACATTCTCTACTACCTCACAACAGTAACAGCATCAGTTTTAGGATTTACATATATAACAAAATGTAAGACAATAAACTGATTCACCAGCACTGGACGTATAAGTCTCATATTCTAAAGCATCTACAACTTAAAGGAATTCTTCATTGGCATGTGGTGACTTACAGTGTCATGAAATACTGGGCATGTCACCGATCCCTTCATTCTACTCAGGCTGCCTTTTCTATCTTCATGGAACCTTTGACACTGCCATCAAAAGTGTCTGAGCTAAAACTAGAACCAAAGCCTTATTGCTGAAATACTGAAATGGCAACAAAATACAGATGTATCTTCATGACAAACTACAAGTTCGTGTTGCTCAAACATGATTGGGGAAGCTGAACGACTGAAACTAGGACATCAGCATGCACAGAGCAATAGCATATACATAAAATGAACACAATGGTTCCAAATGTCAAATAAGATAAAGTAATGAATAGAAAATACACTAAATCTTACAGGTAATCCGGGAAATCCATCTGGACCAGGAAGCCCTGGAGGCCCTTTGTCACCCTATATCAAAGACATAAAAACACAAATAAGTAACAGATTCAGGTTGAAACACATGCATCCCTCACATAATTAAAGTCGAATAACCATCTGTCCCACACTTGGAAAACCCAAATAGAAGGCTTATGGAAACCTTTACCTTTTCACCTGGTGCAGCTTGGCCTGGTGATAACCCGGGATCTCCCTTTGAACCCTTGTAAGAAAAAGAAACATACATTTATGTTCCTTTATGTGCAAACAGGGAACATAAAATAAGGCACGACTTATCAGTACTGCTTTAATGGATCAATTGGATCAACCACAGAAATAGTCATATCCTAATAGTGCCTCTTTAAACTAAATGACTGAGTATCTCACCTTGGGTCCAGGTAATCCTGGTGGCCCTGGTTTCCCATGAGGACCAGTAGGACCCTGCCACAAGTGCAGAGGAGTTAAACATGTGAAATGAACAAACAGTTAAATTCAATGCAATGCCTTTGACTGATGCCATTTGTACGAATTATATGAATTTACAGTCTTATTTTTCAGTCTTCTATAGTTTTGATTGATTTCACCGACACGTTTCATATTATAAATAGTAGACTAATTATTTCATTATATAAAAACTAATCTATGAATGAAATAAGGGCTCTGCATAACATATTATTCAAGACAGTATGAAGTGGTTGATATTTTTTATCTGTGGAACAAAAACCTTCTCTTTTTTTTGATGAATAAGGTTATATCAGCTGCTTTGTATTCGAAAAAAAAAATGTATCAGCAGCATCAATCATATAAAACAAAATAAGATATTATAAAGTGTGAAAAACATGACAATACCCAACTTTGGTACTTTCGTAAATTACTTTTTACATTGCAAATTACATACAATTTAAAATGTAATTGATTTTCACCAGTCCCCATTTTCTGATTGTCACCAGCTGATTTCAAAACCTCTGATGTTGTATATTATTGGCGATGAGACATTTTACCTGTAGTGTTATATTTCAAAAAAGAATTTACACAGTTATTTATAAGGGGAAGAAGTCCCGGTGATCTGGAATGTAAAACATTTCAGTTTGTAACATAAGCTCCAGCATCCTCATTGTGAATGGGTTCATCACTGCTGCCAGATCATTTTAAATACATAAAAGCATTTCACCAAGGCAAACAGGTGTTTTTGTTGAGTAAGTACAGGACTGTGGGTGGGGACAGGGGTAGGTGAAAACAGCACTTTTGTTTCAAATGCAGGACAGAATTACTAAAGTTTGCATTAATCAATCAAAATACTTCACTTAGCAAAGAACTGGTGTGGGAAAACCACTGTAATATGGTTAAAACCTCAAAAAGCAGATTACCTCCTTAAATTGTATCTTTCACTGATTAAAGGTACACTGTGTTAACTTTTCCGATGAAGGCTCCACCACCTGCCTGTCTCCACTGAGATATTTCTGTTTTGCCTTGATTATCCCACAGTATGAAAATAAACTTGGTAATCACAATGGCGAAAGGTTGATGGTCAGGTCTAAGGAGAAGCAAGGCTGTACCTGGTAAAAATTCATGTTTTTAAGGTATTTTTGAGCTATAAAACATCTGTAATTGAACAAATGCAAGCAAGATACAGTATGTTTAATACCCTACTGTGGAACATTCTAGCAAAGAAATGGCATCTCCATGTAGACAAGCAAGTAGTAGACCCTCCATCTTAGCAGTTACATAGGCATTTTTAAAGCTTTTAGTTTTTTTATAGTAGGTTTATTTTTGTGTTATTCATTGAATAATACTAACCACCATAGTATTACATCTTTGGGTATTTCAGATGCATTTCAGTGCATAAACACATAAACTTCATAAACATCAAGTTTGAAAGCACTAGCGACAATGACTCACCCGAGGACCTCTTTTTCCTGCAGGACCAGGTAAACCCGGGGGACCTTCAGGACCCTGGATTAGTAAGATAATGGGATATTGGAGAGAGAAGGGATCATTGTAGAAGAAGTGTGTGGAGGGGAAGGGAAAAAACATAAAGTATGTTAATGGCAAGCAATAACATGCACAAGACTGTCCAGGCTCCCGCGATGATGAGTATGTGCTATTTTTATGTAAGATCTATGAGAGACAGAAGCCAAGTGTTTCCAATTTAACCCTCGGATAGAAACATAGACTGAGCACATGGTCTCAGTCAGATTCTGTGACATGATTATCTTCAAAGTTAGATGGGATTAGTTCAAGATTTATTACAAAACATCAATGAATGCTAACCAATACATCACTTCTCACGGCTTCTATAAGACAGAGCTTTGTGCAAGTATAAATTATTTAAGAGGGCATAGGATAAAATGTTTTATGGGAGATTAGATATTATTTACTACTTCTTATTTTGAATTCACCAAATATTTGGACGGAGAATGTGGACAAAAACTGCAAGTTGCAAGCTGAAAAAACAAATCGGTGCACAGACCAGATTTTAATAACAAACACTTGTATTAACTAAAAAGAACATACTTTATCATATTAAACCAAATAGACTGCAGAACACTATCATATTTGTGTAATGTTTCCTGTCATGACATTAGCAGGTGATGTGTGGTGGTCTGGAATAGCCCACTCATCAAAATGTCACAGCAATAAATCAAAATGTGGAGAACAGAGGAGAGAAACAGTTGTTTGTTCCTGTAGCCTCCCACACACAGATGCACACACACACACACACACACACATGCACACGTGCACAAATGGAAACTGTGATCACATCAGTGCCTTCAGAGCAGTGTCCGAACAACAAAGACTCCAGAGCAAATGTACGCCTCATCAAACTGATTACTATCACACTAAAGCCCTTGTCTTATGATAAATACATTTAGATATTTTACGACAGGAGTATGCAAAATATTGAAATATCACTATAACTACTAAATTTGGTGAAACAGTATCATTATCGGGCTACTGAACACAGTATCAGCATCAGCATTTGGAGCCCAGCAGACTAGAACATAGAAGCATAATAGAAGTAAGGCTTGCAAAACAATTATTTACTTAGATCACAAAAGGCCCATGAATGAGTTTTTTACTAAATTGGACCCAGATGAAGCTTCAGTTATGCAGCTTGAAGACACCCCAGTGAAGTATATTTACAGACAAAATTGTTGTGTTTTCCCCATGTTTGGGTGGGTTTCCGCCAAATGCTATACTTTCCCCCATTAACCCAAAACATGCTCAATAGGTCAAATCCTCCAGCTAATGTAGTCAAGATCTGGAGATGGGTACCCAGACACAGCACTGCAGCCCCCCCATTTGTTCCTGAAAACTTTCCCCAGCGGCATTGAAGGACAATTAACTATACCTTAACCTTACAACCAATAAGTTGCACTTAATCAGTTAAATTGTAAATAGGAGTTACTTTGGTAAATCATGAAATAAACTGTACATTAAAAAAAAACTTTAAACTGTCTGAGTAAATTAATGTTCAATCTTTGTATTATGTTTTACTGTGGCACTTCTTATTTGTGCAAGCTGAAGGACCTCCCCCCTTGAAAATGAGATACATTCTTTTTCCCCTCAACAATGTAAAATACTGTGCAAAAAAAGGAAGATCAATCAATGACTCAGAAACAGTCCCCCATTCTGAAGTAACAGGGGACTGTGTCTGAGTCATGGAAAAACAAGCTGTACAAATGTAAGAAAGCAATTGTCAGCTTCTCTTTAGTCCCACACATTACATCATAAGATCAGATGGACACTCTTTCTTCTTTTTCAACAGGGGCTTGCTATCTATTCTTGCAATTTGAAAAAGTCAGTTATTTTAGCAACCTGTATGTACTTGAAAACTGCACAGCACTTACACATGTCATCACCTTTAGATTTATACCACGCCCTGCTATTTTCTTTAGATCCTATGCATATGTGTGACAGCCAAGTCAAAAGAGCACTACTGAACCCTCTACTGAGGTTACAGCATTAAATTGTCAAAAATTAACAAAAAACATGATTAATGAACTATTAATTGACTTACTGGTGGACCAGGCTCCCCCTTGGCCCCATAAAAGCTGTCATCATAGTCATACAGGAACTCCCCCTCCTCGTAGCCGTAGTCGTATCCACCCATGTCAGTGCCGTCATAGCTGCCGTCTGGGTAATGCTCAGAGTCCACATGGTTCTGCCGATACAGAGTGGTGCCATTGGCTTTAGGCTGCAGGAGGTGAGTCTGGGCATGTCTTGTTATCTGAGGGTTGGTGGTAGATTTATTCCTGAGTGAATCCTTCAATTTGTCCTGGTTGATTATTGCAAATGTAACTGGTGTTGTTTGTGTGCCAAAGATGCGCTGTTTCTCTGTGCTGTTCTCTGTTTGATCAGAACTGGCTGGAGACTTGGTTCTTTTACTCAGTGTCCTTATGGTAGTGACAGCTGCTGTGCTTTGGGTTGAATGCCTTAAGTCCAGTCTACTTGCTGTTGCTAAAGTTGCACTATGGGGTTGTGAAGGAGAAGCTTGTAAGAAGAGATCAGGAGGTACCGATGTGGAGCTATATGCTTCTCCTGCAGTACCAGGTGATCCTGATGAGGCTGGGGTGTTATAAGTTGCTGTTGCTCTATCAGTGGCAGTGTGAGGGGAGGAGTCATGACCCATTGTACCCAAACCAGAATGAGGTGAGTCTGATCGGTAGGTGTCGGCCAGCCGACACTGTTTTTTAAGGTAGTTGCAGTAGTGCGCCGCTGCCTGGGCTGAAGGATACAAGTCTAGCTGGCAGACACGGCCGTGAAATGGTACCGCTTTGGAGTTCATTCTACCCAAAGTGAAAACAGACCCTGAGCCCCCCAGTGTCTGAGCCCTGCCCAGGGTCTGCTCCTGCTGCTGCACAGTCCCACAGTCCGCATAGAAGGACATAGAGTGTGCGCGCACACCAATGGCAAAGGAGTGGTGGCGTCCATCCTGCCAGTTATAGCTGAAATAAATTGGGGCCTTCTCAGTGTACACCACCACTCGATGAGGCAGAAGTTGAATGCCAAAACGCAGTCTGTCCCTGCCATCTCGGATACTAAAAAGAAAAGCATTGTTTGCTCTCCAGGAGCTTAGACTAACTACAAAAGAAAACTCCTCTTTAATCTCAGGCAAAAACAAAGTGCCTGCAGCAGCCTCATAAAAGGAGTCTGAGTCGAGTAATACACCGTATTCTGAGACAGGCAGAGCTGGAGGGGCTGTGGTGAATCTGAGTGCAGATCTGCGTCCCTCGTCGAGATAATCTGTGCTGCTCTGGTCTGTGAGCCCAAGTCGATGGAGCACATCTACACCTGAAGGACATAAAATATGACGCATTAACCAACAGATAAGTAGAATTCAGTTTATCCATCACACAAACCCAAGGCTTTAGCAAAGTAAGCCAACACAAATGGTACTGATACCCTTCCTGTGGTCTTTATACTTGAGGCCGGAACAAGCCTAACTTGTTGATCTGAAGAGGCAGCTGTGGCCCAGATGACTGTTGTGGATGAGTACCACTGAACTGAGAGCACAGCCATGTTGAACCAATCAGGTGAAAGAGACTCCTGCAGCTTCTCTTCACAGAATCCTGTCATTCTTTCTAATGCCTACAGGTAGTTTTTTTCAAAGGATTTATGTAAGGTCTACTGACAGTGAAGCTACGCAGAAAGGCAAAGGAGTTAAAGGAAAACACACAGTATAGCTTACGCTGTGATGTTTTGGTTTGGCACCAAGAGGGCAACTGACAGATCATTCCACCTTGGGCAATGTGTTTGTCTCATGTCAAAGCAGCAATCAGTGCAGCCAGAACTGTGAGTTAAAACTGTATATTTGACAAATAAAATGTAGTAACATCTCTTAGTATAAAGGCACAGTATGTAACTTTCTGAAGGAGTAACAGGAAGTTACAACTATTCAGAACATTCTCCATGGATCTAGATATGATTCATGCCATTCTGTGAAAGATTATAGCCCAAGGAACAACATTTCCTGGGAAACAAGCAAGTGGAGATTCTGCTCCAGGCCAAATAAAAGTCAGGTTTGGCAGCCCACTCACACAGGCACAAATTTTTCAGTGCAATAAACACAAACATAAACAAAATGGGAAAAAAGCTTTTGTTTTTGTCTATATTTTTGCTAAAACGTTAATACTGTGGCTTTAATATATGGCAAGTATAATATAAATCAATGCACCTTCTATAACACAGCTTGTCAACAGTACACAACAGTACTCAACAATACTCAGTAGTGCAGTTAGCTACTACGTTTGAAGGTTTTGACACGTGACACTACATATTTTCCATACTGGATCAAGCATCAAAGTTTGATTTTAACATTCTTCATACAACTGATCACTAGAAGTCATTGCCTGAGGTAACATCACCTGTATTCCAATTAACCTGTCTGATCTGTGAAGACAGGCAACTTCTTTATAGAAGCCATGATTAATTCAACCAGAACAGTTCTAAATGTCTCTGTGCATGAACCAAAGCAGTGGAATTCACAGTTATTGTATGAGAAGCCTTTGAGGTATTTTGGCTATATAAACTACAAACACAGCTAATAATAATAATAGTACTGTTGAAATGTGTTTATCGTTAAAATCCAGAGCTTTGGCTCAGTGTTAGCCATGTGTAATAGTCAGAAACACATGCACAGCCTTTGTCAGTGTCACCTCATCCTGTCCTTTGAATCATGTTTCATCAGAGTCTATAATAGTGATTCTAGCTGGAATTCGGTTTTCTGGTTGTTTTTTGTGCTGTCCCCAAGTCCCAACATTCCTAAATAGAAAATAAAGGTGAAGACATTATTTTGGCTTCTTTCGCACACATTCTAAAGCTCGGAAGACAAGTGCAGACTTGTAAGTAGGAAGGTTAAAAAGGAGCCATGAAATAGTGCCTGTTCACAGCTGCTTTCATGTGTGACAATGCTCCAGTAAATTTATTGAAACAACATGCACGTATTCTAAAAGTGTATGTGTTAAAGCAGGTCAGATATAAAAGACTGTGTTGTGTTGTGATTACTTTGTGCAACGTAGTCTTCTTCTCCAGAGATTACTGCTGAGCATACCGACAGGAGCAGGAGAAGGTTCCACCTACACACAAATAGAAAGACATTAGCAAAGCAGTGCTGTTTTATTTACTGAGCAATGAAGGTTACAGTTCAGAAATGAGAAGTAACAAGTAGTTGCAGAATACTTCTATAGCAAGACAAATACACTGAAATGGGGTGTGTTAAAATGGCAAGGAAAATATAACATATTTCCTTAAACATAGTAAGAACATAATTTAAGGATGATGTCCATTTTACAACCATTACATTTTAGCCATTAGTTAAAATTAAAAGATAAAAGGATAGCCCACAGAACATGATTATTTATTAGGTAACTAACATCCAAAAAGTTCACTATCGTTCAGGCTACTTTATCACATTTCCTGTTACACACATTTTCAAAATACAGACAAGAATTGGGTCTTTCAAACAGATTTGCTCTTTATTCCAAACAAAATATAAATTATAACAATATGACGGTATCAACAGCTGTCACCACTTAGTGAACTGTGTGAATGAGTTCAAAAGACCACCAAGTGTATTCACAAGCAGTGATTACAGATATTACATTAAACTACTTTATATTTATGCTTTTATAGTGGGATATAGTTCATGCAAAAGCTTCATCTTCATCTTCGATTGCTCACACACTTGCTGTCTGTCATTTATGGTGTATTTAGAGCCACCAGGTGACTGTTTCTACTATACTTCATTGTTTTTTTTTATCTTAATCTTCACAACCAAACTAAACTTTAAAGATATATTTTCCAATAAATAGATGCTCATGTAAATTCAGAGCTTTGAGGCATGTCCTTTCTTGTCCTTTGACCCTAATTGACCCCACCTCTAGATGGCACTGCCTACCCAACAGCTGCAGCATCATGCACTACCACAAAATATGTGTTTGTATATCAAACAAGTGGAACAATAAATAAGTCAACTGTGATGAGATTGTGGTGTTTATACTCAGTATCTAAGGTTTTCCAGGTGAATAACAGAAAACATCTTCAAATTATTCAATTTTATCATTGAAATAATAAGTGTTTAGTAAAAGACAGATAATATATGATGGAAAATAGCTTGTAGGCGATGAAAAATAAACCTTATGCCGTAAAGTAAATTAAAACAAATAAAGCCTACAATAATAAGCTACGTATACCAAAACTCATGAGATACTTTTTCAGGAATAATCATGAAACACAAAACACGACCTGGTAAACCACCAACACTGTATAAAGGCAGACCATCTGTAACAGAAGCCTAACCTTAGTGCTGTGGTCCTACTGTGCTTACATAAGACCACCTATCATACTGTTATCATTCATAGCCTGCAGTCTCCAGATGTTATGTGTTATTTTGTCATGACAAACTGTGGCAAAGGTGCTGCTTTTCAAAGAGCTCTGTGAAGATCAGTGTCCCAGTCCCAGATATGATTAAAGGGAGACTGACCCCTGGCTTTGTTTTCACCCACACACAAGGCACAGACAGATGAGCTTTAAAACTAGGCCTGACAAAGTGAGAGTTCACCACCCACAATGGTCTACTAGCTTCAATTGCTAAGTAGTTTAGCGTGTCATGATACTAAATTTCAGACTGGATAGTAGAGAAAAGGCTTGACACTTCTATGTAAATCTTGATACCACGATCATTTAAAAAGTCATTGTCATTTTCAACACAAAATAATGAATCTGTCTATGGAGTCTTAGTCAACAATTATACTTGTATTAAAGGTGCACTATGTAACTTTCCGGGTGTAGGGTCTGCCACCACAGTGATGCTGCATGGAATTTTTCACAGTATGATATTAAACGTGTCTATTTCCATGGAGATAAGCACCATGCCAATTTACAGGTCCGATTTGTGGAGAGGTGTGTCTGCTTACCGTAGAATGTTTTAGAATGTTTTTCAAGGTATTGAAAAAACACCTATAATTGAATAATAAACAAGTTTAATGCCATACTGTGGTACATTCCAGGGCACATATCCATAGACACAACCAGATACTGGACTTGTACCAGAAAAGTTACACAGTGCAGTTTAATCAAGCAATTAGTTCATTAAGATTTCATTCAGATTTTCATTAGGTATTTAAATGCATAAGAACAAAAAGAAGAATGTGTGCGTGTGTTGTGCGTTACTGGACAGTTTAGTCTATGAACTTATGAAGATGCTGTCAGTTTGTTCTTCACATAGTAGCATTTGATCAGCATGCTGATAATTGTAAGAACTTTCACTATCTTGTTTCAATATTAGATTTAGTAATGATTGATTTGGGTTACTGATTTTTTGACAACCCTACTAGCTTGCTCCCTTTTTTCTCATCCAAAGCATGGTGTAACATTCCACAGCCAATAACAAAGACAGCAAATGAGCCTGTACTAAGTGAAGCCATTATGTTTGCTGGTTCTGCTTAAATGTTGGCGAAGTTTAAAAAGTATTGGAGCAAATGGGGAAAAACTAAATTTAACACTTGTGCCTTTAGAAGTCAACTGGAGCCATCTGATGCTGATTCGGAAACTGTTTTGGGGTGCTGTGTCAGACTCGTTGTCTCCGTGCATGGCTATTTAAGGCATCTTTAAGTCTCTAACACTTGCCAACAGCTCCAGATCAGTGTTTTGGTGCATCTACAGTGACATATGTAGAAAGTGTTAGACAAGCAAGCTCATAATCTTCAAATATCCTTTAAAAACACATTTTTACAGAAGAGAGTTTTATTGATTTTAATTGCTCTCTGGTTTTAATATCTATAGTTTTTACCTGGAAAGCTCTTGGTATTGTTATTATACTATTATTATATGGTGGAAAGTTTTGGCTATCCACAGACCACCTAATGGAGAGATGTTCTGTGCAGTATTTAGATCTTCTGTCATACTGCTAAATGAGGAGTCATATATTCACAGCATTAGTTCAATAGGCTTTATATAAATCCCCCTTTGACAGAGGTGGGTAGTGCTCAAGTTAAATTTACTTGAGTAACTTTTATAACATTGTTACTTCTCTGATTAGTTTTAAGACAACATAGTCATATATGAATCATATATTTGACATTGTACCAGTACTCTTACTTAACTGTTAGTTGCTCTTCCCACTTGGAGTAAGAAGTGACAAAGTCTTTATGTTGATAAAATTAAATAATTCAAATATTTGTGTTTTTTGCACCGCTTTTACAGTTCTGATTTAGTTTATTCTCATTTTGTTGGTCTATGTTTAATGTTTTGTCCTTCATATTACACTGACTTCAAATTACACATCATCTGCTAAATTCAGGCAATATTACAATTACTCTTACTTTAGTAGTTTCCTGGACACTATTTCATACTTCTATTTGAGTAATACTATTTTGAGGTAACTTTACTCTTACAAGTGCCCAGCTCCATCTATTGACAGCACACTTTGACATAATTCTCAGTCCCAGTTAATGGAAAATGACTCCTGAAGGCAAGACAAAGCTCTCCAAACAGTGCTCTGTTGACTAAGGGAAATACCACTATATTTGGAATGGGTGTCATGTCAGTACTATAAATAATCACAATTTAAAACTATCCTCTGCAATGAATCATTCCAGCCCCCGTTACAATTAGCTTGGACCCTTAACAATGGTGCATTCAACTATAAGGAAAGGTTTGAGAGGCGAGGAGGGACTCTACAAACTTGGTTTGGAAAAAAGTGGCAAATTCACTTAAATTCTCTTTATGAGGAAAAGAAGGAAAGACAGCCTGTCAATCTGCTCCTGTGTAACTTTAGATTCACCCACTACTGTTAAGTGTCCAACTGAATCCAGCCACACTGAGTCATAAGACTGCACTGTTTACTCTAGTAGCTCCATTGAAAATTACCACACAAAAATTACTGTAACCCTAGATCTTAGTTTACATATTTAAACTAGCAAGCCTTATGCCTTATATAGAGCCTTAGGTGCTCTATATAACTTTTGTCCTGCTTGTCTCCATAGAGATGTTATTTCAAAGCCTAGGATGTTCCAGGTTACAGGTCTGGTCTGTACAGAGCCAACCACACAATGTAAAAAGTTGAGAACACCTGTTTTACAGCATATTTTTTTAAATAACGGAACAAATGCTAGATAGATTTAATGCTAAGTTTAATGTTCTACTGTGGAACATCCCATGGAAAGCAATTTGACAACACCCCACCAGTAAAGTTCCATCGTTGACCTTTAAGACATTTTGTCTAACAGCTACAAATCAGATAAACTATAAGTGTGTAATTTGTTTATTTTAATGATTAATAGTAGCAACACACAGACAGAGCTACTGAAATACTGGTGGATGGTGTTGGCAGAGTAAAGACAATACATCACAGCCTACTAGGCCTGCAAGCCAAAAAGCACAACAGTTTTAAGTCTTTAAAAGGTCAGTGGAAAATATAGAATATGAAGAGTGCACATCTTGAATTAATGACTTTGAACACATTTTACATTCTAAGTTATTCTAAATATGTCATTACTTTTCTTGTTAAGTATTGTGCTAAGATTTTTCACACTGAGCTTTATGAATAACAGTCTGTCTGGCCGTTTCTCTATATGCCCCTCTGGCAACTATATGTCTCCATTAAGCACAGGCCCAAATGCAGTGGAATTCAAAACACTGGCGAAGCAATAACTCTGGCACATAGGCTCAGTCCATCCAGCCGTTTTGCCTAAAGACTAATAAAGGTAAAAAAGGCAATCCCTTATGGAAGATATACTACAACAGGAGGGAGACCTGAAATGCAATGGTGCTCTGTTCCTGCGTGCTTTGCTTCTCCATCTCTATCAAAACATTCTTGGACTTGAACAAGTGATCAATTCACAGCCAATTTTTGTTCCCTCTGGTCATGTTCAGCTTCAGCACCTGTATCCGGATCATAAAGTTATCAGGATGGAAGCTGTAAAAAAGGTTGTGTTATTCATGTCCAAGTCACTATTAGCCAAAAATCACCAAGGTGAGTTAGGGATTTTAAATGATTTCCATAAGCATCCTTGAATAAAATATTTGAATTTTTACAGCAGCTTTAAATGCTTTATTTTCTTGGACAAAAGCCCAAGTGTGGTGTATGTTTGTGCTCTCACTCAAATTGGTGCCTGGAGTCAAGAGGTCAGTGCAGAACAGAGTAAAGATTGACTTAGCCCACAAGACAGCCAGCAGACAAAGGGCTGTGAGTAAACTTCTAAGGCTCTTTATTGGTTTGGCCTTTTCCTGTGGTGGATGGACCTGCAGATGTTAGCAGCAGTGACAGACAGGCCTGAACCCCAACAAAGTCTGCTCCAGGAGCGAACTGAGTGTGCATTAGTTTTAAAGGATAATTACAGGTGTGGAACTTGCATAAGAAGTGGAGACATTTTACAAGGAATTTTAAGACTGTGGTTTCAAAAAATAGATAAATGATATTATGTGATCAAAATGTTGTTTTGTGTATGTTTCGTACAATGTCAATGGCTGATGACAGAAATATTATATTTTACTGGCAAATCTTGAGCAAAAGAAAGAAGCCTTCTTCTGTGTGTAGGTGTAACTTGTTATAACAGTTGTTAAGTAGACAACTGATCATTCTACATCACAAACGCAATGAACAATATGACAGAAAAATGTCAGCATCCTCTAGTGAAACAATTTGAATTTCAGTTTGGGAATGCCGATCTCCTGTAAGCTGTCTCTCTGTCTAGGTTTTGGACTGACACAATGAGGCACTTACTTGTTTCCTATTGTGGTTATATTGTCTTTTATCATCTGTGCTGAAGAACTTCAATTTTTGGGGCAGCCAAAGGGCATCACGTTACATGCAGTGAGTGTTAAGGAAACCCCAGAGCTGTCTTCATGAGCCTATGGAGCAGCACCGGCTGCAACAGTGGGTGATTGTCTGGAGCTCAGGAGCCAGTTAACCACTGATGCATACACACTAACTCTGGGAGAATCCAAGGAGGCCAAACCTGTTCTCAGGCCCATACGGCTCTCATTTTCACTTCCACACACAAAAAATGTGGACGTCTCAGGATTTCAGGTCTGCTTTGTTTTCCATTGAACAAACACTATCAGCAGAGAACAACCAAGTGCATTGTGAGAGCATGAAGTTCAGATCATATGTGTATATAATAGACTACAGCAGCTTGGATGCAGCTCTAAAGCACAAAACAAATTTCCTCTGTAGAAGAGTAGACAGCTCAGGAGCTGCTCTGTCCCAGCTGTATTTAACAGGGCTGCAAGCCGGCATGCTGAGCGCCAGCAATGCACACTTCCATGAGGAATGTTTGGCTTTAAGTGCTAAAGAGGTTCTGCTTCATTAAGACTAAGCAATTAGAGGACTTATATGACATCCTCAAATCTCTCTCCAACAAACTAATGAGCTCCTCTAATATAAAGCCAGTAAACATGACATTATTACAAACATGCTGAATAGGCACTGCATCCAAGTTATGACCCATTTATTCTCCATTCCTGGCTTATCGCAGTTATGAGTTTGATAAATAAAGGCAGAATGGGTGAGGAGTGGACACATGGTACACACATTACTGAAAAGGATTCCAGAGACGTTCAAAGCCAAATGTGAACTGTATTTCATTGTCAGCTACATTTATCAAGAGCAGTAAAGAACAAAACAGCCCATCAGCACAGACTATCTGTGGTTTACAAATCCAGAAACATGCAGCCAGATCCTGTGGAATGCACAATTATCATGGGAAATGTAGTTCATGCAGTTCAGATGAATGGCTATTACAGGATCTCTTACAAACACCGACAAAGCTACACAATAAGAGCCTAATTTTACCGGATAAGTACAGAATCTTTCCATCTTAAAGAAGTACTTAAACACTACAAGATGTATTATAGAACATGGGGTGAATTAGAGTCAATTGGCACCGCTTTGAGGGAAAACTCCCGAACAGAAAGAGTCTATCCGTTGCCATGTTGAATGACCATCAGCCATGAGAACAATTTAAGTAGGAAATGAGCAAAGATAGTTTCACATCTGCATGCCATTTGAACAATTGCTCACTTACGTCGCTGCCGCGGAAACGTGTCCACTCCTTGTCCGTTGAGCTCCTAAATGCATTTGTATGCATTTGTCCAGGCAGCAGATCTGGGTGAAAACAGAATCACACGTATAGAGATACCTGAACATGGGATAGCGCTTTGGTACGGGCCAAAGGACGCACAAAGTGGCCGTTGTCAAAATTCCCTCATCGCATTGTAAAGTCCGAGGTGGGGATGTCTCCCAGTCTTTCAAAGCTCTCGGGTCCTGTGCGCTCTGATGCTCGCTGTTAATAATGCTATTTCTGAGCAAAGCGGAGACGCGCAACTGTTGCAGCTCCGAGTGCTCTGCAGAAGAGAATCACAGCGAGAGAGGTCTCCAACACGAATAGATCCAGTGCGCACGTCTTTCCCTCCAGGCGGTGGTTTCTGCTATGTGCCTTGACTTGCACTGATGCGAGGGGATCCGTATTCACCCCAACACAACTCCTACAGCTGGTGGTGTTGGATTTCACCGGTTACTGACTCGTGACATCACAGATACAGCCTTGGCTTGTCATCGATGCCCCTGTCTGCACTACTGTACGCGCCGTGCACACAACTATATTTACTGTAAACTCAGCGGACCAGGGGTCACGGGCTAAATTTAAAAGCAGCCTGCGAAGGCACAAAAGACCTTATTGAGGCCAGTCCAACGCAGAAATATAAGTTTGCAGCCAACACAGTACCATGTGAGGCGCCTCAAAGCTCTATTAATCTCGTTACATAACTAGCAGCAGCAATAAATTTACCAAATCCCATTGCAACCGTTGATAGAATACATTAGTCTTCACTATAAATCCTGCTATGTGTAAATACATTAAGGGAAAATTATGCTCATACCTATAGCTAAACACTAGGTGGCACTATGCATAAATAAGTTTCAAACAAAAAAGGGGGAAAAAAATGAATAGCCTTTGAGGTTTAGTTAGTTATTTGCCCTTTCACAACTAGGAAAGAACACAACATTTGAACAATACAACAATTGAAGCTTTATTTAAGCATTTGGCTGGGGGCAACTGGCAGCGTTTTGGCTCACAACTCCATCTAGTGGCATAAGATGGATGTGTATGAAGAAATCTATTTCAATATAATTACATTTTGGCCACATTACCATAAATTAAACAGAGGCTTATTTCTTTTCCATTTACCTCACAAAAGAAACCAAATCTTTCGAAAACACTTCTCTGTTTGTCCAATTTGCTCGCCCACACCTGCCCCTTGAGTACCCCACTATATCCTCCTCCATAGAGCGGCCTGGTCTGAGTCAGAACCCACATATGGTTTAGAGTTTAGGGAGCAGGGGGATGCTACTGGAGACAGAACAGCTCCTACCTCCGGTCCCATGGAGATACAGAGCCCACATATATTAACCTGGGATGTATAAAAAGGACTTTACACTAAGCAGTTACAATGTCCATACAGGAGAACATCTACAGGTCAAAGTCACATGGAAACTCCCAGCTAAGCATGCCAATCATTTTTAACACAGGGGTTAATCAAAACCATGATACAGGCGTTCCTCATGGCTTCTTAAGATTACTACAAAGGTCTGTGTCTGTTAGCTGCTCCAGGTCAAAATCTTGTGTTTCTTCAAATGCACTTGTCCCAGTAGAACCATGCGATCCACTCTGAGTTTGCCATCAGTTGCGTCTTTGGAGTCGTAACGTAAGAACCAGATGCTCTTTACCTTCTTCCAGGAAACTGTTGAGATGTTGGGTTTGAGACAGGGCCATAAATCAATATAATAAACAAATCTATTACAACTCTCATTTTGTATCAAAAGATGAATCAAAAGTCTGGCCTGACTGAGAATCGATTACATTCCAGTTCATTCATAAATCTTGAGCCATGACACTTTTCAGACACCACGCTTGGGATGTTTTGTAGCAATTAAAATTTGTTCAATATTAACATAATATTAATTCCCTTTTTAAAGGTGTTTGATGTAACCTTCAAGAGGAGCGTATGCCAGCTGCTTCTCTATGGAAATAGTATTGCTTTGCCTTGAATGATCCACAGTATGAGATTAAAAAATACCTCTCAAATATCTCCATGGAGAAGACGATGCCACCAGTTTACAGGTAAAATCAGTTTTTTTTTTATCAGCAATAAAAAAAAACACCTACAACTGAATAAATGCAAGATACATTTAATGCCTAATTATAAAACCATTCATTGCCAAGCTATATCTTCTCCAAGGAGAGACAAGCAGGCTGCATACCCTTCTGAAAAGTTAGAGCACCTTTAAATCATATATTTTTTTTTAAATTATCTCACAATATTTAAAACAGTATGCAAGATTATATCCATATTCATTTTATATTTTTCTGAAGAAGGCAGAATGCAAAGTTTCAGATCAGTGTATTTTACTTGTAACCCATTGCGTTTATTTTTGATTTATTGATAAAGAAGATATTAACAAAGTCTAAGTCTGCATTTTACACACTTTCTTTCATCACAGTCAGGCTGATACCCCAAATGATTTAAGTGTGCACTATTTGATTTTCCTCCTGGACACCCAGATGTGCACTAATCGCTTCATTGTGCAGTGAGGACCAGCCATAGAGGAACAGGGCCCACTAATCAACCACAGATCACAACTGCTCACACATATAAAAGCCTTCTACATGTGGCGTTTCCCTTTGTCTGCGAGATTATCAATAAACGCTAAGAAACAGAGCCAAAAAAATAAGTGACGTCAATACTTTCCTGACAACGACATTGGCGAGGTTGATGAAAACTTGAAAGCTCAAATGACAGTATTTACTAAGTCTTTCCATATGATATAACGTTACATAAGCCACAGAGCAGCTTGCTTTTATGCAATTCTGTTTCATGGAGTAAAGCTTTTAAAGGTAGCTTGTTGTAAAATACCTTTTTGTTCCCCTTTTGAGATGCATTGTAAACTTTAACTTTATATTCACTGGCACAGCACGCAATAGTTATTCTGGCCTTGCTCCCATTAGATCTGTATCTCAATTGACTTCGTACTACTGTTTCATAAGTGATTTTAAAGCCGGGGAGGTAGCTTCTCATTTAAAAGGTCGTGCTTGGTGGAAACTATATAGCCAGGTTAAACATTTCATTATACAGTAACAGCTTGTAAATGGAGAGAGTGGAAACTTTTAGCTTTGGCCCAGAGACAAGCCAAAGTCAACTGAGCTGAATAATGAAGAGAAGGAGCAATGTGGAGTCACTCAAATGTCAGGTAAAATAATATGACACTTTTACCTGAGTATTCAATGGTAGTTTTGTGTATATACTTTTACCTGAGAGAAAATATATAGCTGTTGGCCAGTTTTAATAATGGCATTACATAATGTAGTAGGAACGCAAACAGTCTGTGATAATTGTGGTAATGTACGACTTGTACTGAAGTAATAATTTAGTACGCATAACTTCTGTTGTTAATATTAGCATTTTTTATGTAATTTCAATGAGAAAACAGTGATTCTGAAGAAGGTAACTTACGTACACACTGGGAGAACATGTAAACTCCACACAGGACCGTTTTGTTGTGAAGCTGAAGCACTCCGGTAAACCAAAGTATAGTATAAGCAAGTATAGTCAGAATAAATCCTACCATAGATTACTGTGTAAGAAGTTCCACAAATGGTCCCTATCTGGTGAAGGTGCTTTCAGGATTTGTACAAACATTTCCAAGGAAGTTTGCAACCTGCTATAAAAATGCTCACACAGTACAATTAGACATAAGGCTGCTTTATTTCCCCACACTTAAAATTCGATACTTTGATACTTTGCAGTGACACCATGCTGGCGGTGTTCTACATTTATGTGTATTTGTGGATTGTTCACCAGTTACCATGGAGACGCAATGCAAACATTAGCAAACACTACAAATACGTTTTAAGATTATCTGAAAACTCAGCTCACCTGTTGTAGTTACAAATAAGTCAGTTCTTTATGGTCAGATTGTGACAAAATCAGGCTCAGATTAAAGTCTAACAAAGCCTCAGACAGAGTAGTGCCTGCAGTTAGCACCACACCCCCAGGGAACGTTGCTGACATCAGCTGTAATGTATCAGTTTATCCTTCAGGACCACCTCTGCTAGTAAAATACTCAAACAAAAACGCCTAACCTTGTATCGTGTAAGTTCATTCTTGTCATCATTAAGTCCAGACAGCTTCATTAGCCCACCAGGTCATCAGTCAGTCACTGCTGGCATGTGTCTACAATCTGGGCTGACAGTCGAATCACCATATTACCTGTGAGAAGTTTAACCCACCTGTAATTATCAGCGTGGGGTTGTGTGTAATTTCTGGTCCCGTGTCTGTGCGTGTCACCGCCTCAAAGGGCTGTTATTTCACCAGAGCGCGCAGGAGAGAGTGGCCAACAGCTGGGAGAGTGCTCAACAGATGGTGGGGTGTATGCAGGGAGAGAGGGACCAGAGCTGAAACAATTCTCCTTGTAAGAGCATGTGTGTGTAAGAATGTACGCGGTGGTGAGGAGCTTAAAGGGACCCTAAGAAGAAGGAAAAAAAAATGGAGGGAAGAGGGCCAGGGGAGTCCAGGGTGAAAGGGGTGTTTGGGTTGAGAGGAAGTTTGCGAAAAGTGAAAGTCCCAGTTGGCGGTCACGTGGGCTGGTAAAGGTTACTGAGCTGGAACACCACACACGACATCAGGAAGTGCTGCCTTATGTTATCATTTTCGGAGTAAAACAGATGGATTTCACGGTTACTCTTGTTGAGTTGCTGCCCAGTTTGGAGATGTGAAAAAGGAATTTGTGTTTTATCTGGAATTCCATCTAAAGCCAGGTATTTTTCTACAAAAAAGTTTTAACCATTGCAAGACAGGGCCAAGGATAGTCCAACAGGAAATGGTCTGGCATGCATTAATCAGTTGAGCACAAACTTTATCTCCAAGCTGACTTCGTTCAAGTCCTACTCCAAGTTAAAGATGCACTATGTACTGTAACATTTCTGATGGAGAGATCTGCTAGCTGCTTGTCTCCATGGTGATGTAATTACTTTGCCTGGAATGTTGCACAGTATGGCATTGAACTCTATCCAGATTTTTTGTCATAGGCATTTAAATTGCCCAAAAATCACTTTCATTCTTGTTGAATGAGCTCTCCTATCCACAGATCTAACCTGCCTGTGTGTGCCAGACAGCATTATCTTATGTAGATTGATAAATTTAATTCCATACTGTGGAACATTCTAATAAAAAGCAATAACATCAGCATGAAGTCAAGCAAGTATACTGTGTACCTGCCACTGGAAAATTTACATAGTGTTTCATTTAATTTAATTTCAGTAGAATTTCCACATTAAAATCCACAGTGACACAAAATAAATAATTACTTTTAGCTTTTAATTTGAAGCAAGATGTTTCAGAAGCTTTACAGCTTACATTACTACACCAACATCAACATTTCGACTTGAAATAAAAAAAATCAAG